AAAACGACAAAACAAAACCCCAAGGGCGAGCCGGCTCCGCTGGTGCCCGAGGACGAAGCGAGACACGACCTTTTGTGCATTCTAGCTCGGCAGCTGGGCATGGGCTACAACATACAGGACAAGCCGCAAAGCTAGAGCAAGTTAGGCCCAGGTACCAAAGTTGCCTGGCGCGGGAAGCGCATGATATCAAGCCGGAGGGTGCACACGGGAAAGCCAATGGAGCTGGTCTGGATGGTAACATAGCGGAACGGATACCAACATGACTTTTGCGCGGGCGCTCTTTCCTGCGACCACGGCGTTCGAGTGGCTACCGCCCATGCCGTGTCCCGACTGCGGTACGAAGGGAGGCCTTTTTCACGTCACGGCCTCTCTGGGTGTCACATCACATGTTTTTTTTTCTCTCTTTTTTTTGGGGGTTTTTTTTGCCTCTCAGCCTACGGGCCAAACTACGAAGACGGGGAGTTTGCATTTGTAGTACCAGAGTGGAACGATACGGGAGCTATGTGTTTTAGAAGATGTATATATGTACTGTATGTAGGGCGGGCAGGGCTTCCTGTCGAGACCTCTTGGCTATTCAATGTTTTTCTTACAGGCTACTTCGTGGCCTTGCCCCGTGCTCCTTGCGGGCCTGGCGCCTCCAGCCGGCTGCCCGTGTTCGTGATCTGCTCTGAGGCTGGAACTGTTGGTCCCACCGTGTCGCTTTGGCTAGTTTTGAATCGAAAGGCGTCCTGCCTCCCCAGGGTGCAGCTCTGACCACCGGGGTGGTTGAAACGCCTAGGATGAGTCTTTGTGCTATCCATTCTCGCCAAGGAAAATGAGGTGATGACAAAAGCAGAGTGTGGATGTACGCTCAGCGGGGGAAATCCCACTGTCGTGTCGAAGCAGCCGGGCTAGTTTTATAGAGGGGGGCCGTCAGTCGCTTGCTATTGTATCGCCTTTGTCCGCTTTGCTTCTTGTTCCAAGTTCTTTGTCTCTTGTCTTTGTTGAGGCTGTAAAAGGTAATGAGGGCTAGAGAGTGGAAAGAGTGAGTGAATGACGCGAGCAACAAAAAAAAAAACATTTCTGATCGGGACCTAGATGTAAGGGGCGATATCTCGTGTCGTAGCACCCATCACTGAATGGCAATAGCTGCCCGACGATGCCGACCGTGCGAAAGGGGCATGGCCGAGGAATATTCGAGTCATAACAATGAGGCCCACACTTGGGTATTGTTCGAAGTCATGGCCTTGCACAAGCTCGTCACTAGCTGCCGGCCGGTCCAGGCCAGAGGAGGCGGTTGTGCCAGCCCAAACGAGGCGCGCGATGCCTAGGTGTGGCAATGGGGAATCAAGACACGGTGTAGAAGGAGCGTGGCAAAAAAAAGAAAGAAAAAAAGAAGAAGAGTCACGAGGCAAAAGGAGAGAAGAGCAGCCTAAAGAAGAAAAGAAAAGCCAGCTCACAGTCCATTACCAACCAGCTCATGAATTTAAGGCTGTCAAATCTCCTGGCGCCCCAATGCGTCGTTCAACTGCCCCCAACGACACACGACATGGGCCGCGCCAGACGTCAAATCGATAGCTTGGCACACCACGGCAGACAGCCCTGATGGCCCACGGGATCCCGGCTGTGTTTTTTTTGTGGCGGGGACCTAGCGGGGAGCTGGCGGGGGGTGGCGAGTAACGCCCGCAATTGTTTGGGAGGACGGCGTTTGCTGCGCGGCCGCCGACGTTACGTACGTAAGAAGAAAGGAAACAAGTGCACGCGAGAGACCTGCAGCGGGCAGAACGGGTTGACAGCCAATTATAAGCACGCATGCCACACCCACTGAACGACCTCACACGTGTTCCCTTGGCCACTGGGAATCAAACCCTGACTTGTCCCCCACCAGACGGGCAGCATGGAAAGGGGCACTTGATCCCAATATGGGTTCCCAAATGGACAGAAAATGTGCCCAACAAGATCAAGTCGGTTTGGGCCGTATCCAATAATCTGGTCGTTAGGCAGCAGACGTGCACGCGAGATGGGGCGCGGAAATAATAAAAGAACCAAAAATTATTGCTATTGTGCATGGAAGGGCGTACAGCCGCTCCACAACTGGGCTCAGGGATGCCCGCTATCTACCTGAATACCTCGATGATGAGGTAAAAGCTCTAGACCAATCGCAAAGAAGACAGACAAGGTATGTCGCTTGGAGGGTGTTCTGGCCACACTGCCAGTTCGGGTCGGCCGTTGCCGCGAGGGCCAGGCAAAGTCCCCGTCCCTCAAAATCGCTGGTGCTGGTTTGCGGGCATGCGAGCGTCATGCCTCGAACCAATATGCCCCTGGCATATTGCTTGTATATACATCACGGTGCTCTGGATCAAGCCAATCCTCAATTCATCGCTACCGTCACCACTCCCTCTCTGCACCGCCAGCTCATCACCGGCCGACGGCGGCAGCCCTCTCGAGACTAGCCGAGCTTATGGGGCCCCGCAGACCCGCGGCGGTCGGTGTCATGGACAGGCCCGCAGGAGTCAAGGCGCCGTTGGCTCCAGGTCCACTACCGGGCGGAGCCGGGGTGCCACTCCTGGTGGGCGGCGCAGACCGGTTGTGCTGCATGTGGGCCCTGACCAGATGGCCGGCAGCCAGGGCGCTGCAAAGGGACAGCTCGCCTGCGAGAACCGACGCTGCCACCAGCCGCGCGAGCCTCCGAGCGTTCTCGCCGGGGCTGGTGGGGTGCGGGCCGCGCACGCCCAACATGTCCAGCATAGCCGCCTGTGGCTCCAGGATTGTGCCACCTCCGAGGGTGCCGACTTCGATCGAAGGCATAGAGACCGAGATTTGCAGAGATCCGCGCAGGCTGGAGAAAGGGAATGGGTAATACCGGTTAGTACATGGCTGGGAAACAGTGAAGATGGGTCGGGAAATCAAAGCCAAAGGGAGGAAGAAGGACGCCGAGGAGGGAAACTCACTTTCGCATGATGGTGATGCAGTTGGCACTCTCAACAACCTGCGCCGGGTCTTGTCCGGTTGCCAGAAAGATGGCGGCAACAATGTTTGCGGCGTGGGCGTTGAAGCCACCGATGGCGCCGGCCATGGCCGACCCGATCAGGTTCTTGGAAATGTTCAACTCGACGAGCGCGTCTACTTCGATCTTAAGAACGCTGCGGACGATGTCGGCCGGGATGATGGCCTCGGCCACCACGCTCTTGCCGCGTCCGTCGATCCAGTTGATGGCAGCCGGCTTCTTGTCCGTGCAGTAGTTGCCGCTGACCGTCAGGATAGACATGTCGTCGAAGCCGCCCTCGGTCGCCATGACGCCGAGGGCGTGCTCAACGCCCTTAGAGATCATGTTCATTCCCATGGCGTCGCCGGTGGTGGTCTTGAATCGGATGTACAGGTTGGTGCCGGCGATGGCTGTCTTCATGCTCTCGAGACGAGCAAATCGGCTGGTGGAGTTAAAGGCGCGCTTCATCATGGTCTGGCCGGCCTCGGAATCGAGCCAAAGCTTGGCGGCACCGGCGCGCTCCAGCGTCTCGAACCCGACAGCAGGGCCGCGTGTCATGCCGTCTCCAGTAAGTACCGTCACAGCACCGCCGCCGGCGTTGATGGCCTTGCAGCCGCGGCTGGCGCTGGCGACAAGAACACCCTCGGTCGTGGCCATGGGGATGAAGTAGCTCTGGCCGTCAACCACGAGGGGACCGGCGACACCGACAGGCAGGGGCATGTAACCAATGACGTTCTCGCAACAGGCGCCGAGAACCTGCTCCCAGTTGTAGTTCTTGTAGGGCAGCTTCGACCTGTCCAGGAGCCCGGTGCGTTCTTGGGTGACCTTGGTCCTCGCGATAATGCTACGGCGGATCTTGACGGCGCGGGTGCAGTCCTTCAGGCTCCTTTCAAGCGAGTAGCCGGGAACCTTGCCCTTGAGCGACAGGGCGACGATCTCCCCGTCCGACAGCTCGTAGACGCGCTTCTCCTTGAGCATCTTCTCGATCTCGGCAGCGGTGCGGGGCACAGCGGGGGGCTCGGGGGATCCGTTAGTCGCGGGCCGACCGGCGTCGCCCTCGTGGTCCATAGCCGGAGGGCTTGGGAGCCTCCTAGGCGTGGGTGGCTCTGTCGGGGGCTGGTACTCGCCCAGCGGCAGGGTGGCCGTGTCGGTCTCGTTGAACTTCTGGGCATCGGCAAGCTCCTTGGGGTTGATGGGATGGTCGGGAAGGTTGGGGTCCTTAATGCCCATACGGGCGGCATTGAAAAGGTAGCCGTTCAGAGCAACACTCATGGCGAGGGCAATGACAATCCACTTGGAGAGGACAGGGTCTTCGAGGCTCTTCAGGATGCCACCGACCATGCGGCCGCCCATGCCGTAGCCCAGGTCGTCGTCCGAGGGGACGGCCGACTTGGGAGGGAGGGCGTAGTGAATGGAGGGGTACTCGAGCTCATACTTGATGGGGGTCAGGATCGTGACGATGGTATCCGTGTTGGTGGCCTTGGCCTCGCTCAGGATGGTGTCGAGCCCGTTGGACGCGACCTTGAAGGGATCGACAGGCGGTGAGTTGAGCACGCCGCCGAGCCCCCCGGCCCACGATGAGAGCGACGACAGGGAGTGGGTGCTGCGGAAGGGGATGGTGCAGAGATTGAGCAGGTTGATGATGATGAAGCCCGACACCATCAATCCCTTGAACTTGGGGACGCTAGTGCTCTTGATCTGCTTGCCGAAGAGCGACGTGCTGGAGCCGTCGTTGCTCTTGGCGACATTCTCAGCAACCCGACGGCTGAGGCCGTCGTCCTGGAGGGCCCTGCGCATCTGGACGTGGCGCTTGATCCGGTTGATCTCCAGCTTGATGTACAGGATGGCCGTGTAGAAGGAAAAGAGCAGGATGCAGTCGAAGAAGAGAATCCAAGCCGCCAGGAAGCAAAACTGTTGAAGACCGCCCTGGACGCCAGAAGCTGCTCCGGCCACGAGTATGAGGATCTCGATGGCATAGTCCTTGATGATGCCGTAGGCCTTCTCCTTTATGGCCGCCTGGATGGCGTACTGAATGACCGAGTGGGAGGCCGCCTCGTTGGGGCTAGCGGCGCCGCGGTCTGATCTCTGGCCGCCAGCGCCCTTGCCGGACTGCTTAACCGCGTCCGGGCGCCGGTGCTCGATGGCGTGGGACAGGACGGCGCGGGTCAGGACGATGTTCTTCTCGAACCCAATCGTGACGACGAGGAAGGGCAGGCCCTCGGAGAGCAGCATCATGGTGATTGGCACGCCCAGCTTGGTGGTCACGAGCAGGCCGAAGAGGAAGGAGAAGACGGACGAAAAGAGAGTGTTGGCGGCCAGCCAAAAGTTTGATCCCATGCGGCGCATTGACAGGAAAAGCGAAACGAACGTGAGGTGCATGGACAGGTACCCGAGCACCATGATGATAATGTCCAGAGTTTCGGCGTTCTTGAGCATGTCGATAAACTCAACCCATGAGTTCTGGGCCCAGCGCACGATGCTGCTCCTAGTATGCACGCGCGCCGCCTTCATGATCCAGATCTTCTTCTCGCGCCCGTAGGCCGAGGACTCGCGCGTCTCCTGGTCGGGGATGTCGTTGGGGATCTCCTGGACGGCCGTCAGGAAGCGGGGGGCCTGGTCGTAGGGCATCGAGAAGGCGAGGGCCGAGTCCTGCGAGTATGCCGTGAGGGGGTTCGAGGTCGAGGGCAGCGGCGTGACCGAGAGGTTCTCGGGGGTGGGCACAGCATTGAGGAGGGGCGCCGTCTTGGGCGCGTCGTTGGACAGGGACTCGGGGAAGATGAGGGTCAGCAGGGCCTTGTGGGTGGCGCCCGCGACGGGCGCCTTCTCGGGCAGGTCGTGCGACTGCCACTTCCATGCCGTGTCGGGCCCGGCGCGGAGGCTGCGGCTGCCCTCGGTCAGCGAACCCCAGTCGGCGCGGCGGACGCTCCAGCTGGAATCGAACAGGCTCTCCTCGAGCAGGCCGATGTAGGTGGAGCTCGCGAGCAGGGCCACGATGACGACGGTGTGTATGGGGTGCGCCGACGTGATGCTGGCCAGAAACTGGAGCACGGGCGTGACCTTCTTGTTGATGCGCGAGGGGGCGGCAGCCTGCGAGGCCGGCTGCTCGCCCCTAAACCGCGAGGGTATCAGGGATGAGGCAATCATGTCGAAGGCCCAGGGCGAGGAGTCGTCGGCGGTGGCCGGGGACCATCGGCTGTGGACGGGGTCTGCGCGGGCGAGGTCGGCGACTTCTAGATCTATTGGGGGGCCTGGTGAGCGATACTGGTCTTGCGGGAGGTCTGGCAGAGCAAAAGAAACCCTCGGTCTCGTGGGGAAGAGCAAGGACAGCATCGTGACGGCTGGTCGCAGCTTTCAATGAGGCGAGGCGCACGAGGCTCTGTTTGGGGATACTGCTGCTGGGGATACTGCTGCGCAGTGGCGGGCGGGGGTGGAAGTGCCAGGGCGCGAGGCGTCGACGGGGAAGACGGGATACGTAGTAGATGGCAGGAGCTCCGTGAAGGAGCTAGCTGCCCCGAGAGGCCCAGACTGATCTCCTGGCGGACATCATGCGGACGTACCTGTCTAGGCGGGCACCTCGAGGGGTGCGCCTGTGTCTGGAACAGTGAGTTGTGCGGTTCTGCGTAGCTGTCTGCCGTCTGCTGGGATGGCTTGATCGGACTACTGGCAGTAGGTTCGGCCGCGGTAGGCGTTGGCAGGGTTAAACGCCGGTCTTTTTTTCGATGTTTTTGTTCGAGTTCCGCTCAAGGTTTCCACGAGTCCGGCGGGTCTCGGAAGATGGGACGGCGGGAAGGGGAGGTGTGCGTGGGCGAGTCTTTCTTTGTTGGGAAGAGTTCAACCGTGGAGATGACGATGGTGTGGTCTCTCCAAGGTGCCGTCTTGAGCGAGCTGCAAGTGTAGCCCGCACACAAACTCACCAGCCTCTCTCGACTCCAATGGCAACAGGGACAGCAAGAGAGAAAAGGAGCAAAAAGGGGACGGTGTCTAGAGAAAAACGACAGCACATGGAGAAGGGGAATGGAGACTGGGAGAAGCCAACAACGGACTAGAACGAAGGGGCAGGCGGATCCAGACAGGGGGGATCGTCACCCGGAACTGGTCGCGATTTTAAACCCGATTTCTTGTCCCCTCCATTCCCGCTTCCATTGCGACGGGGCTAGAAATTGGAGACGCGCAACTTTTTTTTTTTTTTTTTTTCCTTGCCTTCCAATTCTCGCTCTTCACGTTCGGATGGGGCCCCGGTCAGCCCGCGCCGAGCAGCTGGCACCGAGAATTAGGATGCCACGCCCCTGCACTGCCTGGCGACCCCACCCGCGATAAGCCACTCGAGTGCGACAGATAGCGCCTTCACCGTCCAACCCTGCCCATCTACAGCTGGCAGGGCAAGCCACTGGGGCAACCTTGACACTGCCGCCAACCCTTGCACCTCGTTGGGCGGCCCCCAACGGGTTGACAAGTCACCCACAAACAACCACCGACGAGTTGTGTGCCGCAAATCCATGTCTCCTGCAGTCGGAGCGGTCTGCAGCTAGGAAGGCGGTCAAGGGTGATGTGATAGCTCTGGGTCTGGCCAAGCGTTGAGTTGAGAATGTCCACGTCGCCAAATTGTCTGCTCATTTTTTGTGATCCCTTTATTCTCTCTGTCGGATGGAGTACGGGCAAACTCGGCGGCGACTCGGTGGGCCCTCGCGGGTGGGAGGGACGGGGATCAGCCCGCCACGAGGGAGTTTACCTATCATCCAGCTCTCTTGCTATCATGCGCCCCTAGGCTTGGGGATGGCATTCCAGTTCCAGAAGCTGCCCCCTAAACGAGCACGATGATGATAATGAAAATATGGACCGGGGTGGCTGATGGTAGCGTCTGGCCGGTGGCTGGGGGTGATGTTGACGTTACAGTACACGCACAAGTACACGCACAAGCACACGAACGGTGGTCCCGTGCCTTGCCTCTGGCGGTTGCACACATCTGATATCAGACGATGAGTGATGGCTGCGGCTTGTGCCTGAGTGCACGCCACCACAAGGGTTCGATCCTACGGGGGATGCGGCGCGGGGGTCCAAGTTGCACAGCTGTGCTGTGGACCAAGTCAGCGCACCAGACGGACTGATAGCACGGATAAATAATATGTATTAGATATGTGCTAGGTATATGGTTGAGCAGACACGTCGGCAGGCTGGTTTACCAACACACGCAGGCAGCCGCAGACACCTGCAATGCAGCCCGGGAGCCATTGAGACTAGCAGAGGGAGCCAATGGGCCCGGTGTTTGTTTTGAAGGAGCCATTGCAGGCGTCTCTTGTCGTTGTTAGGAGCCCATCCCGGAGAAATGATGATGGGACTTATTTCGTTGCGCCAAACATGCCGCTGGAGGCGCCCGATGCCAACCTGGAAACAAGCGGCACAGCAAAATGAGACGTTCAGAGATGTCGTCATTGGGCGTCTTAACAGCGGTGCTGGCTGGGAATGGAATGGGAGAATCAGGGACTGTCAAGCCGCTGCGGGCATGATGGGTCTGGTCAATATTCAACGACATTGTTCGAACGGATGCCTTTACTCGCTCTTAACCAAGGTTATGTTATGTAACGCTCCATTTCCCGACAATTGTCGCGTTGCAGTGGGGAAATTGCCTCGAGCGACACACGAGGGATTCGCGGAAAAGGACGAGGATCGCCTGTCTTGGCATTTGCCATCAATCGGGATGTTTTCGGATTGGTAGAGACGGCGCGCGGCCCTCTGCATACTGCATACATTGCTGTCTCTGTTCTGGCTTCACTCACGACGGTGCCCTGTACTTGGAGCCCATTCTTGGAGCCCATGCAACCGTCTACCTGGATACCCAGCCTCAAGCCTGCATGATGTCAGGAAGGCTGCTGGATGACATGATAGCAAGAAAATGGCACTTTCAGGCTTGCTCACAAGCCGTTATCCGAGCTGCGTGCATTTAGGCTGACAGATCATTGATCCTTTGCTGCGACTGACTGCTGCGACTGACTACTGACTCTTCTTGTGTTCCATCGTCGAGATCTGACAGCCCCCAAAGCGCTGCCAACCTCAGATTGATCTGCCCTTATTACTCTTGCCCACCCTGTGAACTCACATGCGCCTCCACCGACTGTGCTGGGACCTCGGCACGCTGTTGAATGTGCTCGTTTGTTTGCATCTGAGGTGCGCAACAGCCATGAGCGAGCGAGCGAGCGAGCAGGTTTCCACAGAGACCTTCTGGCTCCCGCGTCGGCCCCAGCTAGTTTCTGGCTAGCATCCATCCATCCTTATCGGCACGGAAATATCTACCAACAGCTTCCAGGGAAAGGCCCGTAAGATAGCAGCCGGGACCAGTTGCTCACACCCCTGGGCAGCCCGACTGATCACTGGCCACGCGCTGCTAAAATTGAAACGGACCGAACTCGGTCGTGTTTGAAACATCCGGGAACGCTGATCCAGGCCAACATCGACCGCGGTCCCATCGGACATTTTGGGGTTTCTTTTTGGCACGAGGGCCATCAGTACCCATATACCTTGGTCGCCCGTCGGCCATTTAGCCCGCATAGCACATAGCACTTACCTCTCAACCTTCCATCCTGGCTTCGGACCAGTTGACACGGCCAAGCACAACAATGGCCGACGGAAATTTTAGGCCCGCGCTTCTGGTGGTAGATTTCCAGGAGGACTTTTGCCCACCGGTGAGTTTGGCGCTACGTGCATCTTGTGACTTTTTGTCCATCGCTTTGTTTTGTCTCTCTCTCCTTTTTGCTTATTCCGCCAAAAGCGGCCATTGGTGAATGGCCGACCTTCCATCCCTGGCGCATGCCACCCAAGGAATGCGATTGGGAGTGGGCATGGGATGATGGCCAGTTGGTTCGTTCGGTTCGGCTAGTGCATGGCATCAACTCATCCATGTCTCATCCGCGCGAGCCCCAGGGAAGAAAACAAGCAGGCTCAAGCCACATGCACCCTGGGTGTTTGGACCCAGGTGTTGGGCTTTCCCTCCCATGCGGGGGGAGGGGGCGTGCTACAGCCTACATACTAGCCGCATCCTGGACAGAGCGGCTAGGCTCTGGGTTGGGGGAAACTGAGGCTTTGCTCCTTTGCAACAACGGCTGACACCCACGGCCCAACACAGAACGGCTCCCTGGCCGTCGCGCACGGCCGGGACATCGCGCCCGTGGTCAACCAGCTGCTCTCGGCGTCGGGCCTGGTGCTCCGCGTGGCGACCAGGGACTGGCACCCGCCCGATCACGTGTCGTTCGCGGCCAACCACGCGGGCAAGCGGCCCTTTGTCGACACGGCCACGGTCGTGAACCCGCTCAACGCGGCCGAGACGTACGAGACGCGCCTCTGGCCCGTCCACTGCGTGCAGGGCACCGGGGGCGCCGAGCTGGTGCCCGAGCTGGACCGCCGCCGCGTCGACGCCGTCGTCGACAAGGGCACGCGGCCCGAGGTCGAGATGTACAGCGCCTTCCACGACCCGCTCGCCCGCCCGCGCGTCAGCGACTCCGGCCTGGCCGCGCTGCTGCGCGCCGCCCGCGCCACCCACGTCTACGTCGTCGGCCTGGCCGCGGACTACTGCGTCAAGAGCACGGCGCTCGACGCCGCCGCCGAGGGCTTCGTGACCTGCATCGTCGAGGACGCCACCCGGCCCGTCGACCCGGACGGCTGGCCCGCCGTCCGCGACGAGATCCGCGCCGGGGGCGTCGCCGTCGTCGGCGTCAACTCGCCCGAGGTGGCGCGGCTGAGGCTGGGCGCTGCGCGGATTTGAACGAGGGACTGCTGAGGTTCTGAGATTATGCCTGTCTGGCTCTATGTGTTTTTTTTTTACCATCTATCCATAGTTTGCCCCTTATGGGATCAGCCATGTTGGGCAAAACCCCGTCCCAAAGCGATCAGCTGCTCGCTCACACGGTAGCAGATATTTCCATGAATTATCACCATCCTCAGTTCCAAAAATAAACCCCTTAGCCTGGCTTTCACAATCATGGCATTCACGGGAGTCCTCCAGGTCGTAAGCGGCGGTCTCAGCTGTCCATATCCGGCAGGCTATCTGCCACCACTGAGGCTATCTTTGTGCCTCGGCGCAAATTTCTCTTTGTCTGCCCTCGGTCACGCCTCGAGATTGCCACCGCCGGCCGGCCGTATGTTCCCTTGGTCTCGAGGCCTTCTTTGTTCATCCGCCTTTGGCACCCTGCCAGCATGCCGCTCCCAGCCCCCCGTCCGCCCCCTTCCCGCGCTCAGTCGAGTCTCTCTCCACCCAAGCCTGGCGGCGGACTTGTTTAGAAAAGCAAAGGCCTCTCCATCTCCATATCTCTCTCTCTATCTTGCCGTATATGCTACAGGCCATCTCCAATACCGACCGACATCGAAATCTTGGCCATCATGAACACCACCACTACCAGCGGCGGCAGCTCGCCCGCCCCCGAACACACCGGCCACGTCATGAGCAACATGCCCGGGATGAACGGCATTGCCAGCCATGGCGGCAGCAACGGGTGCAAGATCTCGGTGCGTCCTTTCCCCTCTCCACCAAATCCACCAGTTCACTCTATCCTCCCTCCCCCTTTCACACTTCGGCCCTCCTGACACGTTCACCATCGTCCCTCCCCCTAGATGCTCTGGAACTGGAACACGGTGGATGTGTGCTTCATCTCGAGCACCTGGCAGATCACGAGCACCGCCATGTTCGCCGGCTCGTGCGTCGGCGTCGTCCTGCTCACCGTCTTCCTCGAGGCCCTGCGCCGCGCCGTCAAGGAGTACGACCGCTTCCTGGCCCGCCGTCACACGGCGGCGGCGGCGGCCGCCGCCGCCATGTCGTCATCGCCGCCGCGGGTCCTGCGCTTCATCGCCGTGCGCGGCGCGGCCTCCTCCGCCAGCACCACGGCGGCCGAGTCCAAGGAGTTCCTCCAGCACGACGAAGCCGTCCCCGCCTTTGCCGCGGCGAGTGGTAACGGCAACGGCAACGGCAACGGCAACGGCGGCAACAACAATGACAACAAAACGAACTGCGGCACTGCGGCCGCCCCGTGCGCCGCCCCTCCCTTCCGCCCCACGCTGGGCCAGCAGGTGGTGCGGGCGGGTCTGCACACGGTGCAGTTCGCCGTCGCCTACTTCCTGATGCTGCTGGCCATGTACTACAACGGCTACTTCATCATCTGCATCTTCTTGGGCGCCTTCCTGGGCGCCATGACGTTCCAATGGGAGCCCATCGGCGGCGGGGGCGAGGGCCAGACGAGCGCCGCCAAGGAGGCCACCGTCTGCTGTGGTTGACGGCATGGCCATATGCCCTTTGTTTCCCCCCCTCCATCCACGGCAGATATTAACGTGTGGGGGAGTGTATGATAGCTGGGTTCTCTGTTCTTGTTCTCGCCGGACGGCGGTGCTTTTATATTTGTGTATGTACAACAGGACAGATGATGCTGTCGACCGTAGCACCCAGCGTGCTGGACTGTTTTCCCAATAATTACTGAAATGTATCTTATCTCCCTTGCAGCGGAAACAAAGGCTGGACACGCCCATTTGCTGTCTCAAATCGTGTTTGGTCATCTGTTCTCTCAACAAATCTCTCACGGGCTCCGAAGCAAGACCTCCTCATTACAGCGCGACAAGCGCAGATACCCCCACACGGGGCTGGCGGTCTAGCGACTGGGATGCAGAAAGCACAAGGGAGATGCGGGTTAATTGGCAGGCCAGACAAAGACAGGCGGCGGGGCAAGATGCTCGCGTCCACACCTTCTCACCAGAATTCGCCATGGCGTTACCTTCTAGCCTCTTTCCAACAAGCGTCCTAGGGCGCATGCCATGCAGCTAGAGTTGGTGCTACTAACATGGTTCTTGTTGAGGAGGCTTATGCACACGGGACGTAGGTTGGGATGGTCCTTTGCGGGAGCACCGTTGCTTAAAAAAAAACAAGACTTTCTGCATACTACGCATGTCGTCCTGTCTGGGGGACGTGGCAGTTTGCGAGCCTTTATGCCTTGCGGTTCGTCTGCGCCATGTAGGAGAGGACATTTCAGCTCAGATCTGACAGCGGATGTGATCATGTTGGGCGTGCTCACTCGAATACTCGTTGAGACGGCCGAGTTTGCAGTGGATGGCCCCTCCTGTCGCCACAGAAGATGGACGGCACTGGCTGTTTCATGGGGGCGATGATAGCCGGTGCAAGACGTAGCCGCTGCGAAGTCTCGTGAAGCATGTTTCGAACCTGTTGAAATGTAGACCGGACAGGGTGGCACCCCCGTTGGACGCTGCTGCGGCCACGTACGGGTCGGCGCAGATCCGGTTCGGGCGCTGCTGGCTTTTGTTTTTGGCGGGCCGAGTGCGCAAAGAAACGCGGCCATGACTGACTGCCTTGGATCGTTTGATGCCTCGATAAGCCGCGCAGCTCACACGAGGAAAACCTTCTGGTTGCCGACGCCGAAGCAGCGCGCAATGTCCCACTCGCCGCCCTCCCCGTTCTCCACCTCAGCTCGGCGCGCCCAGACCCCCTCCATGACCGTCCAGGCCTGCTTGACGGACCCGAAGATGTCGAGCGGGCCCACGTCCCGGACCAGTTGCCGCAGCGGCTCCTCCTCCTCGGGCGACGCGAGGCAGCCCGTGACGGCGAGCGGCCACGCAAACGTGCGGAGGCAGTCGGGGCTCGGCAGGCGCGTGCGGAGGAGGGTCAGGGTCAGGCCGACGCTCTCGCGCAGCGCCGGGGACGCCGGCTGCCAGCCGTTGACGACCACGTGCAGGTAGCTCAGCGCCGCCTGCGCCCAGATGCGCGTCACCCAGCTCGTGGACAGGGAGCCGTCCACGCCGCCGATGGTGCGCGGGCCGCGCTCGAAGTCGCCCACCCGCGCCCGGGCCGTCACATAGATGGGGAGAGGGCGCTGCGGCTGGTGTGGCTGCGAGACGACGCTTTGGCACTCGCCGCCGCCGCCGCCGCAGAGTATGGAATCCAGGCTGGCGATGCGCTGCCGCAGCGGCCACTCGATCTTTGCGCCCCGCAGCACCAGCTCCGTGACGGAAAGCGACCCCGACGCACGCTGCTGCTTCTTCCACGCGTCCAGCGCCGCCACGTCGCCGACGGCGGTGAGAGCCCAGTTGGCGGCGCCCATGACTTGCGACAGATCCAAAAGGGGCGTATCCAGACCGCTATGTTCGCTCACATTCGCTTCCAACATCTCTTTCAGGTCCGGGTTCATGTCTAGGATATCGCGCTTGCCGTGTAGCAGCCCGACGTGGTAGCAGTGTAGGCGCGGCGCGGCCTCCAGGGCAGTGCTGCTGACGATGTCGAAATACAGCAGCACCGCGGCGAAGAAGGAGAGACACGACTGGTTGCTGTTCATCATGGTCATGGGGCGCTCGACTGTCTGCTGGCCTATGGCGCTAGGGAAGAAGATTTGCGGGTGGCTGCCCTCCCTCTCGTCAAGCCTGCGCAGGATGCTGTTCCAGCAGACGATGTTGTTCAACGTCTCCGCGTTGAGTTTGAAGACTTGATCGAGAAGCGTAATGGCGCCCTCGAGATGCAGCGCCCACGAGGAGCCTCCCGTATTTCCAATCGCGACCTCGAAGCAAAGCACCTGCATTATGGCAGCCAGAACCCGCGTGGCCTCCTTGAGCCGGCCCTTGACGCCGTTCTGGTTGATGTCGTTGACGTCGAGCATGAGCTCCTTGACGGTCAGGTTCTGCTGCCTGTACATCTCGTCGTGCGAGACGGCGCGGCAGCATACGTTCTCACCACCGTGCAACATTGAGGTGAAAAAGTACGACGCCAGGCTGAGGGCCGAGTGGAAGAGCGTCCGGTTGCTGCCGAGCACGATAAGGAGCCACGAGCGGCCGCCGAGGAGCATCTGAGGGCGGTAGAACGGGAACAGGAACGGGAAGACGGAGTCGCAGTAGGTCATGGACAGGGCGATGTCACGTTCGTGTTCATTGCCGAACATGACAGTGTGGCGGTGCGTCGTCGCCTCGGCAGCGGTGGACTCGGGCGAGGTGCCCTGCGACGAGTCCAAGTGGCACGGCGGCGAGAATCCCGACATGGACGATGCCGGCCCACCTGGGCTGGGCGGGCTCGGGGCGGCATATTGGCTGGAGTCGGGGCGCGGCGGCGGCGGTGGCTGGGGGGCCTGGGCGTGGTCGTGGCCGTGGCCGTGGCCGTTGGGAGGGGGCGACGAGGACGCGGCGGGCTGGCGGGGCGCGGTGGCGGCGGCGGCGGTCGATACGTGCAGGCCGTCAAGGCCGTCCGTCATCTCCAGCTCGCCGAGGCCAGACTCGAGCCCCTGCAGGTGGCGGCGCTCCCTCCTCCAGGCGGCCTTGCGCTTGATCAGCTTCTTGACGGCCTCGGCCCTGTCGCGCTGCAGGTCGGCGCCGTCCATCCACTCGGGCTTCGCGTCGCTGTACAGGCATTCGATCTCGAGGGACAGGCAGGCGGCGCAGGCGGGGCGCTCCTCGTCGCATTTCTTGCGCCGCAGCCGACAGGTCCAGCAGCCGTCGGAGCTCCGTGGCTTGGAGGACAGCATGGCGGGCGTGTGGCCGTGATCTTGCCCGGGTCGGGGCATGTGTGGGAGATGATGGGTGTTAATTGTGAGGGCCAAAGTGGCGGCCCGTCTCGTCGCGCCCACCACAATTTACAGCGAGCATAAACCAAAGCATCATGCGGGGAGACGTGAGCGCCTAATCTCCAGGCCACAGCCGATTTGTCATGCCTTGCCTGCGCCCCGACAGCACGGAGGTCTTGTCACATGAATGAGTGGGCAAAAGTGCTACAATGTTAGGGACCTCCAGTGGCATTCCCCAGCCCTTTCAACCACTTTATGCCAATCATTCCGCGGCGTTAGAGTTCCCAAGGTGGGGTGACCCAGGACTATGGTTATGTGTCCCTGACAGAACCTCAAACAGTATTCCATGGCAGAGAAAGGCCTTTGGCGCAAAGGTAGCGCGTCCGCCTCCTATTCGTAGTGAGCGGAAGGCTGTGGGTTCGAGTCCCATGAGGCCTGTGAGTATGTGCTTGCACCCTGTTTACTTTTTCGGTTGTCGAGCATGCCCGGAGTCCTTTTCTGCATCAGGCAGTAAAGCTGCCACTAAAAGTAAGGATAAGATTTTTTTAAGTAAATAGTTAAAAAATGTGTAAATAAGTCAAGTTATGTTTTGTAATGTAGTGTTGGTTTGTGGAAAGAAAGGTTTGTTAAGAATCGACAGCGGCCCACTACTTGTTAGCTCGATTTAAGCGAGCCACCCATCGGTGCCGTCATTCAATAAACGATTGGCCCAATGGTCTAGTGGTATGATTCGTCCTTCGGGTTACTTCTAACTCGTTCTAGCTTCTAGAACACATCTGGACGAGGCCCCGGGTTCGAATCCCGGTTGGGCCCCATTACTTTTGCTTCGTTTTTAACCCTATTCGCGTTTCTTTTTACGCATGTGCTCTCGCTCGTTCATCCATTCTGTTCGAGTAACTGGCCACGAATTCGTCGCGCGTACCGCTTACTTTTATAAACGGCTTTGCGGGCGTGTGTTGAACGTGGAAAATGTAGCAGTGCAAACGAACGAGCCCTTGGATGTTTCCAGCAAGATTGGCATGACCCCTTTAGGCATCGCGGACATCCAATATCATCCCTCGTGCAGAACAAATCACTGAGGTTATAAGCAAATGCGTCCATGCGGCATGTACCATTAAACTACAAGGTAAAGTACATTCCAACATATCTCATTCCTCCTTGGACATCATACAAGTTGACTTCGTCCGTAGGCCTCAGCCCCCAGTAATAACAAACCCAGCCGCCCCCACGAAGTCCGGCTTTCCCATCCTTTTTTTCCCTCTCCCAGAAGATTGCCAGTTTTCGGTAAGCCTTTCTTTGTGACACCAACCCCCAAACCGAAAGAGACAAGGAAAAGCAAATGAAGTTGAGGAACCAAATCCAGCCGAGGCCAACGCGTAAAAAACTCCATTTGCATAAGTGTTAGGGAAAAAAAGAGGAAAATCAAAGCATTCCAAGTCCAAGGGGTGATTCGTATCCGACATGCTGATTAGATGGAGTTGCGTCTATGTTTGACTAAGGTCCATTGTTGATATCTTTTTTCTTTTCTTTTTTGCTTCAAAGAGCCAACCCTGTGCCGTCGCCTGTCCATCGATAGAGGGCTAGAAGCTCGCGGCGGCGCTGGTGCTGCTCGCCGAGGTCCTCTGGCACACGCCCGCGGACTTGGGCCAGCGCACTGCGCATCACTTTGCTGAAATTACGCTGAAGAAGGGTGCAATGTCAGCAGCCAGATCGTGCGGGACGAAGAATTATGGGGTGGGTGCAGCAGCGAACTAACCTGGTACTCGGTGTTGAGAGTTACCACACAAGCCTCGTGAGCGCGTATTATGGTCTCGCAGGCCTTGACGACACTGGGATTCGCCTCGCTCTGGAGCTTGTCGGCGATGAGAAGGAGCAGAAAAGACCCCTGCAGCAGGTAGATTCCAAAGAAGAAAGGCATGAACTCGAGGCCAGGGTCAAACTCGAGGATGTTGCCGATGGCTTCGGCAGCCTCGACGGCGTGGCCCGTGGCGTTGAAAAAGCCCTGCGAGCTGATCCATAGATCGTTGTCGTCCAGTAGATTGATGGGGTCCCATTTGCCCGAGAGCAGTACGTGCAGCACGTGCATGACATGCGTGCCATATGCCATGACAATGCGCGTTTGGACGTCGGATTCGGTCAGTCGCGGGTGGTGCTGCTGCTGGGGCTGGGGCTGCGATGTCGAGTGCACGCTATGCACCGACAGGGCTGATGGTGTGCCGATGTCGTTCGGCCCGCCACTGCCGCACACGCTGATGCTGTCGCCAACACCGCCGACGGCAGCCGAGTCCTCGGCGGCCTGGGCAGCAGCAGCAACGGCGGCGGCGGCGGCTTGTGCCTTGGCGGCGTCAGCGGCTTGTGCTTGTGCCTGAGCCGCAGCGCTGAGGTGGCGTTGCTCGAAGCGGCTGAGGCTTTGCTCGTAGATGCCGAGGTGGCGGGTGACCTCGGCCGTCTGCTCGTCCCAGCCGCCGCCGGAGCGGAAGTTGACACCGAAACGTGGGTGGTTGCGGGCGTGGTTCAAGTCCACGATCTCGCCCAGAATCGTCATGAGTGGCAGGAAATAGCCAAAGATGCCGTGGCCTGTGCATTCGAAGGAAGGTCCTCGGGCGCGAACTTGCTGTTCCTGTTGGTTTTGCTGTTGCTGCGACCCGTCCTCCCTGAGCATTTCTGGGTCGGTATTCTCGTTGGGGCGGAACTCGCCGTTCTGGTACTCGGTGTCGTCCATGGGCTGTAGCAAGCCGTCGCACTCGATATCGAGAAGGAATAGGGGCCGGTTATAGCACAGGGCCAGGTGTCGGTCCACAATGTAGACGAGCCACCAGATGCGCCTGCGCTCCTCGCGCTCTTCATCCGTGATGACACCACCGGGGCCGCCAACAGCGCTGCTCACGCCGCCCTCTTCGCCTGTATTCTCGTGATGGTGGTGGTGGTGGTGGTGGTGATGGTGATGATGTGGGTTGTGGTGATCGCCTCCGTCAGACATGGGTGACGGTGCATTCTGGGGAAGTTCTCGACCCAGCTTGAGCTCACGGGCCAAGGACCAGGCTGCGTTCCACCAGCGTAGACTAGCGCCCTTGTATTCGCTCGCAGAGACGACGGTGGCAAGGTGGATGTAGGTGACTACGTCGTCGAGAGTACCGGCAGCGCCAAAGGCTCCCGTTTCGCCCGTCAGGGCCTCCATGCTGATGCTGACGGAGCCGGGCATGGCGACGCCCAGCCCGCCGAGGGCGACGCCGTCAATGACGGGACTCGAGACCGGGGACACGTCGCCCGAGGGCGTGTGGATCAGGGGCTTGAGCAGGCTGACAGTCAGCTCGAGCAGCTTCTGGCAGATCTTGCCGCGCGCCGACGGGACACTGGTCAGGAACGGCGCGTCGCTCGTCTGCGCGGCGACCCATAGGATGCTGGCGAGCAAGGCCGGCTGGCAAAGCCGTGGCCTGCTCGGATGCAGGAAGGAGCGCTTGCGGAAGACAAACCCGAGAACGTACGGCGACATGGGGTGAACCTGGGCCGACGAGGAGCTGGCAAAGTAAAGATCGACGAGATCGCAGGCCAGTGAGAGGGGAATGATGTTTCCCAGGTGTGGGACTAGCGGCCCGAGCACGGGGTACCGCAAGTGCTGCCCGTGGCCCGAACCAAGCCCGGCCGCTGCATTGCCGCTCGCTCCGTAGCCGGCGCCCTGTGGTGACACATGCTGTTGCTGCGGTGGGTACTGCGTCGCGTGCGTTGCCGGCGGCGAGGACATAGACATGCCCCATCCTGGCGATGCCGTCTCGCCCGAGAGGGGGTAGGCACTCAGAGGGCTGGTTCCGATCCGATATGATGCACCACCGCCCGAGTAGCTGGTTGGGCTCTGCGTCTGCAGCGAGTACGGTAGCTCTGGATAGCTCGACATGCCACTATGGCTGGCGAAGCCTCCGTGCCCCGCCGTCCCGGCCATCATGTGCGCTGCGCTCATGCCGCCCGGTCGATCATAGGCGCCGTGCATGCTGCCGTAGCCGTTGAGGTCGAGCGCAGTTGGGCTTTCTAGACCATGGTGGTGTTCCCTTTCGAGCGAGTGGTGTGGTTGCTGGTGGCCTCCAATGTGTGCTGGGCCGCTGCCCAGGCCGTCGAGGCTGTCTATGCTGCCGATGCGCTGGCTCCGCTGGATTCCGTCCGCCTCGAGCTCCTTGTCGTTGTTGTCATTGTGATGGTCGCCAACCGAGGTGCCATTGCTGCTCTCCCCTTCCATTCTCTGCTCATCTTTGAGGTTTTCCACACTGCTGGTTGGTGACTTTTGTCCGCTCTGCGCTGCAGCCGCAGCCGCAGCCGCCTGTGCCAGGTCCTTTCGTGATGCCTTTCCACGCTTCTTCCGCTCCCGGATGTACTCGCACCCGAGACCGAATTCTATAGCCGTCAGCCTCTTGTCCACAACGGGCTCGAGCATCTCGATGTCATATAATTATCAAAAGCCTGTAGACAGCCCTTGGTCTTACCTATACAATGAGCGCAGGGGTGTTGTCCATCGCACTTGGTCCTGAGCTGGTTGCACTGGTCACATGCCCTGCTGATCCTCCTGCGGATGGGGCCGGCAGCTCCCGTCGCCCGCGCAGCGTGGCCGTAGGGGTGCTGGCGATGATGCTTCATCTGGGGACCTGCCCGGGCGAGGTGAGGGTTGTGAACCCCAACATGTTGTTGAAGCTGCTGCAGAGCATAATGCGAACCTTGTGCCAAGGTGTCTAGCCCTGCCGTGTGCATATGACCTTGGGACATGTGCCCGTTGGACATGAGCGTGTTGGACGGCAAGGCATGGTAAGGAGAGAAGCGGTGGAGAGGGTTGGACAGCATCTTGGTACCAGCTGTCCGTGTGTCCGCTTCAGAAAAACTGCCTCGTTTTGTCGTGGTGAGCTTCCCTTCCGTTCTTGGTATAGTATGACGTAGTCTTGCTGTTGCTTCTTTAGGGAAATGGGTAGAAGGAGGAGGCAGGAAAGACGGATGAAGCGGTAACAAGCAGATGATGGGGTCAAAATAGGGAGCGCAACGAGACGCAGACAGATAGCCGACTTCGAACGAGCGGGGACAGTTGGCTGAAGTGCGACTACGTCTCAAGAATAATGCAAGGTAAACTGTATATGTGTGCTTCCAGGCTAGGAGAGCAGACGGTGAAGCAGGATGATGGGGGTCTAGATATCTATACAGGACCTCACGCTCTGCGGTGTGGTTTGCCTATAGTGGTAGGCGGACGGGAGCCGGAGCGGAGGAGAAGTTGTAAGAGCTGGGCATGCAAGGATGCTTGGCTCAGGCGGTACTTTGACGGGCCGGACTGATGTTCAAGTGTGGGGAAGGGAGTCGAGGGATAGGACGAAGGGGACTGGGCATGAGCATAAAGAGACGCCGAGCAGCATTGACAGGGCCCAAAACAGCAGGAGGGGATCGGCCAGCGGAAGTTGGCCCGCACGGCAGGAGACGGGGTAAGGTAGCCAAAGTACCTCTCGCACCGGGTGGCAAGTGGGCGGGAAGATACTTGGGAATGGTGTTGACGGTCATGCAGGCAGGAGGGGGGAGGAGAAGGCCACATGGCGGGGGTAGGGTTTGGGGAAGGAAGAGGTGTGCAAGGGTAGGGAGTGCGGACATGACTGGACTGCACGGGACGGGCGGCAGGGGGTGGGCCGCAATCAACGAATATTGCGAGGCGTGAGGAAAGCTGGGGAAAGGAGGAGACTATCAGACGTACCTGATTACCCTAGGGCCTGAGCTTGACGTGGATCCGGAACGACGATCGGGGCCTTCACCACTGTTTCCTTGACAAGATCTCGCACGCCCAGAGACAGTCGGGCCAGGAGATCGGTCGTGCTCTCCTCGCTAGCTTTTCCGCCGTCGTCTTCCCGTCTCCTCTCGGCCTTTGGGGGACCCGAACGGTTAGATGGAGGGCTATCCAGGTTCCAAAGCTGCCAATCGCTAGCGGCTGAGTGATGGATGCCGTAGGATGGCCGTCGAGTTGTTGTCTGTTGTTGGGGATTGGGCAGGAGCGAGCGGTTTGCTCTGTGTATCCTGGTTGGCGCCAGGCGGTCTCCCTTCTCGTCTCGGCAGTCTTCGCAGGTTCGAGTGTCCTTCTAGCCCGGCTGCGCTATGTCCTCGATTTGATCGGGGGGTCGGCTTCCCTCTTGTCTCTCCTGAGATTCCCAAGGCGCCACGGTTCTCGAGGCTCGTTTACCACAGATATGCTCGTAGGCAAATCACCTCTACCGTCAAACTACCACTCTTTCCCCTCCTCAGATGGGCTCGGAGGGAGCCAGACGGGGCCAAAAGAGGAGCAAAGGATGTGCTGAACCCGCCCGAGATCGAGACAGCCGGTAATTGATGGTGGCTGTTCCTGCTTCCCTCTCGGAGAGGCTGATGAAGGACTGTTGTCTGCGGCTATGTCCTCCTTGGCATGCATATACAAGCTCCCAGGAATGAGTTTCGTTGATCAGGCCGGTCTCGATTCGCGAGTTTTGCGTGCGCCTCTAAATCAGGGTTAATATCGAGCATCACAGTTATATTGGCGTGACAATATCCGCGGCGGGACGAATGGCATGTGTAGTGGATGGGAAGAGGCGAGGAGCGCCCATGTGCGTGCGTGGCGTGTTCCGTATGAGGATTTAATAATTTTCGGCCCTTTCTCTCTTTTTTTTTCCTTCTCCGCATGAGTGACCTTGCCTCTGGTGGATGTGCAGCAGGCAGGCACGAGTGTCTTGAATCCTCCTCCTCGGCTTGCTTTCCTCTCCTCCCTCCGCCCCGCTTGGCCGGTAGGGCACTTGCTGAGCAGCAAGTACATGGACAAACGGCACTGGTTGCCTCGGAACGCAAGCACGAATTTGGTAGCAATGGTAGCTCAGCGGGCACAGTGCAGCGTCGTAGGTGCAGGGGAGGGGTACGTAGGCCACGGGCTCTCTCCGTCTCCGTCAGCAAGCTCCCTTCCTTGTAAGCTGTGAGTCCCGCGCTGGAACCGAGCGGCGGTACATGGGTACGCAGAATGCCAAACCCTGCACGGTAGGAGCGAAGGTGACCTGCATGAAGAAGAAAAGGAGAAAAAAAAACAAAAAAAACAAAAACAAAGGGCAAGGGGCATGGCAAGGGTGCGGGCGGGAGTGGTGTGGTGTGGTGTGGTGTGGTGGTAGTGAGGGTGGTGGTGGTGGTGGTGGTGGTGGAGCACTTTCGGCCAGCAGACCGGCGTCCCAGAGAGACCAGGCCATACGAGGATTGCTGCAGAATGCCCGTCCCATGTTGGCGCTCGCTGACGGCTCGACGGGCGGTATGAACCGTCAATTTTGTGATGAAGGCAGCCAAGGGGCAGCAGCAGTGGCAGCTGTTGGTAGCATGTACTCGGTACCATGGATCCGAGCGGCGGCGACTGAGCAGAGCTGACTGTCCCGGTTGGTCTGGGCGGCCTACGCTCTAAACTGTCTGTGAACGAGGTGCACGAGGTGCAATGCCAACAGAGAACACTGGGGGACAGACGCTGGGTGGCTGGCTCTCCCAGTGCGGCGTGGTGGAGGAGGCAGGCCGCCAGCAGGGCATCATGAAACGACAGCCCCCACTCCGGTAGCCATGTGGCCTCGCCGGCCTTGTCGAGGGCGAAAATACAAAGCGAACTGATGTTCCTCGGCTACAGCTGGGGCCCACCAGCAAGAGCGTTCGCAACTCTGCCCACGATGGGGATAACGGCTCGTGACTGGAGGACAAACTGGAAGAATCTGCGGAGATCGGGTGAGGGGAGTGGGCGACGGCGACAGGGGCAAAAGCCGCGCCATTGGCGTGCTCGACCCCTGCCCCAGGCCCATCTGGCCGTGGAGAGGAATCTCTCGGTCAGAGAGCCGCCGAGCTCACCCGCCTGTCGCTTGTGGCTGCCGGATCCGCAGACCCATGTTTCTCCACGATTAACTCCAAAAACTCGTGCGGAGAAAGGGCTCGACCTTGGTAACGCTGGCCGTATTTGCTGCCAAGCTGGGCGGGGAGGGAATCTGGCAGGTCAGCCGGGCTTCGCTTCGTGTTTTCGTTGCTGTCTGGCGCCATTGTTTGTTTTTGGCGTGACAAAGAGATCGAGCAGCCAAAGAGGGAAGGCGGATGGGATTGGAACAATGAGCGAGCTCGGTACCAGGCAGGAGCGCACCGCGCTCTCCTTGTCTGATTTCGGCTGGACTCGCTCTAATTGGTGGCGAGCAGATCCGGACCCACCCTCACACCCAGTCGACACATCATGGCCAAACATTGACACCCACCAGCAACTGATTTGAGATGCGGGCAGCAGCAGAGCGGCATAGACATGGATGGCTGGGCGTTTGTCGGACCGAGAGCCCTAAAAAGGTACCTTGGTACCTTCCAATGCACGCCCAGCTGGGTTCGAGAAGCATTCCTTTGACTTTAATCGAGCTTGAGGGCCTTCGCTGAACCAATTGTTGCACACCATCACGGCACCAGCATGGCATGAGCATCCACCGCCGACAAGGGTGCTTCTCGGGCAGTGTGGAGCTGCCAGCTTGTCGTGCTTGTCATCTATCCATGTCCAACGGTGTAGGGGTCCCCACGGGGAAGATGTGCGGTTCAGGTTTTTCATTTTGCCGACGTCTGGAGTCTGTCTTCCTTTGTTTTCCCACAGGGTGCGGGGGCTTCCCTGCGGATCATCCTCGCTGGCACTCAGCCTTTGATCCAAAGTTGCAGAATTTCAGACACGTCAATCGCCGAACGTCTGATGCTAAAAACTCGTTCGAAACGGGAATGTCTCTCCGCGGCGGTCTTATCAGAGAATTACGATTTACGACCACTGTGTTCTTGAGATTCTTGCTGTCACAACCAACAACACTCGGTCCGTATGACCTTCACTGTATGCTTGCCTGATCAGGGACATGGATCGATCCATACAGGGCATCAATGCCATGTTATCGTCTGAGTCTACAAGGAACCACACATCTACCAGACGCACTAGCCTAACAGCCGATCTAACCCCGAGACTACCTACATATGCACAGCTCCTCTTTGATCGGCCCTCCGTCTGCCGGTGTGAATATTAGATGGATTGATCTACACACGAATCATGGCTGTCCGCCTGCTTGGAGCTGACGTGCCCCCCAGTTCTCAATGGCACATCAATATGCCCTGATCTCGCGCAGCATCACACCAGCATCCTCATGGGGAAGCGAGAGTCGGGGTCAATATTGTCTCTCCCAATGAAAGTCCCCGCCCTGACGTCTAGCGGGCTTCTCCAACTCGGTCGTGGCCACCCACCTCGAGGTGTGCGCCCTTCTCCTCGCCTTCCTCCCACCCTCCATGCCGCCTCCACCCACGCCAGACGGGGAAATGATGCAGCTACCGAGTCTACGCACATGGGCATACGCAGGTCCCAGACGGCCGGGGGCAGCTTGCGTCCCGCAGTCGCAAGCCTGTCCAGGAAAGAGGGGCGGTCGGCGGTGGTGTCAACCCAATCTGAGCAGGCCAGGGCAGAGCCAGCTGGAAGGCCCGTAATAGGTGCCGTAATAGAAGCCGAGATGGAGACGTGGATGGCAATAGCATGAACGCAGAGGCTATAGCACGCGTGGCGCTGGCGTCGAAACGAAACACAAAACTCCGATGCGGTCCTCCTTCAACCAGCATCGAGCAAACGGCGACTAATACCGCTGCAGCGAGCCTCTAATATCGCGACAAAGCCTCCGCCCATGCTTGAATGGGATACAGGACACTGTCCCACTCCTGTTATCTTGCTGTTGAGGTCGTCATCTACTTCCTGGGGCTTGGAGAAATCGGGCTCGAGTTGCGATGACAGATCAAGTGCTTCCTAGCCCTGGAACTGTCGGCTCTAGTCAGCCGGATCCGTATACGGAAACGTCCGGCTGGTGTCCAGATTGAGTTGCTGGACAGGGTGCGTCGTGAATCGTGCCAGCGAGATAAACATGTCCCTGTCCATTTGCCGAGAAACAAAATCCTAGATCAATTCGTCTGGAGTGTAACATGCAGTCCCACCGGTTTAAGCATACGCGCAGCTACGGTATTAGCGAACACGCCATCATTGCGAACAACCTTTGTCTGCCAATACCACCTGCTCGTCTCAGTCGGGGAGTCGCTCAACAACCCCGGACCAGATGTGTAGCCTCAGTGTAGGTCGATACCCAGGTAGTTTGGTACCTCTACGTAGCTCCTGTATATACACCATCGAGATAGGTCTACCAAGAGATACGGATTCCATAAGGAAGTAGTCTTCCGGCGACTGCCGTGTGAAGCTTTAGATGCAGGCTCCACTTGAGGAAACATGGAGTCTTTTGAGTTTAAGCCTATTTGGCGGGCTTGCCATTGACGGAAATGTACACATGCGTTGGATTCGGCTACATGTTTTTCTTCATGACACCCGATCACTCGGCATCCGTATTCATCCGTCAAGGCCCTGGTATGAAGCGTGGAATGATGTGCCCGAGCGTTGCAATCGAGTTTTCCTCTGGTGGATCATTTCTATGGAGGAGGTATTCGAGGTGATCAGCGTCACGCTCAAGGAAAGACTGCAATCCTGCCATCGGCCTGCATTGTCTGATAATGGCGGGCAAAGGGGGAAGGGGGGTGTGGGGCTTGCTGCACACCCCAGATTTGGCGCCTGCCGCCAACGGTCGAGAGCCCGTCTAGCGCCACCTGGAGCATGGCTGGTGTCGTCAATTGGCCTGGAGGAAACTCGTGCCAAGCGGCCGACGGTCCGAAACTCCACGTCTGTAATCAAATGCGTCCTGCAGCAGCCTCCACACCCGCACACCCCTAGCTGCCGTCGCACCCGCCAGCCACCGTGCAGCAGCCCAAGACATTCTGGGCGTGAGGGACATGCTCTCCGGCTCGACCAAGGCAAGTCGAGCCAGTCCCTCCCTGTCACACGCACAAGCACACACACATCAGCCCGAGAATGCCGACGTTAGTTCCCCGGCTCTTGCTATTACGTGCTACCTCGCCATGTGGTCCGACCTGCCCTGCGCTTTGCGTTCCCGACTCTGCTAGCCGCCTCGCTCGCAGACGCGTCTGCCTCGCCGACAAACGAGACGACCACAGTCTATCCGGCCGATGATGCATAGCGCCGCCCTGGCCCTGGCCCTGTCTTGGTACCGTACCTGCTAGGTTGGCAGCTAGACCGCAGCTAGGCCGCAGCTTGGTACGACCTCACTACGGACCATGCAGCCAGTGCATGCCTGGGCACCTGGACACCTGGATACCTGCCTTCGGAGTGGGGGCCGACTTCCCCAGCGGCGCGTAGCCTTGTACATGTGCTCGATGTCACCAAAGACCAACTGCGTGGCGGGGATGGAGACCCGCTTGCGTGCGAGCCTGGTTCTTCTCTCTGCTCCTCTCCCCGTATGTCTACCATGGTTTTAAGGGTACCACTATACCGCTGTGAGTTCCTGCTGTGGCGGTCCTCGAGCCTGTCAAAATCGTAGAATGGAACCTCGCCCGCCTCTTGACCTGGCACTCGACCGTTCCGCTGCTTGCAACTTCGGGCCGCCGGAATCCTCGTCACAGCCCCCAACCACCCAGCAGCTCTTGCTATATCCCTCCGAAGTGAGCAACCAAGTAGGTAGGGCAGCATCGGCGCGTGGCCGACCCGGCCAAGCAGGTGCGGCTTGTCGGTCCCAAGCTTCCAGCAACCCCCGCCAATATCAGAGGACCTATCAATATACCGACGAGCCTAGCTGTGGCCGAGAAAAGCTCACCTCTGTGGAGAAGTGCCGTGGCCAAGTAAGTGACCCGACTCATTTCTTCTCTTCCCAACTGCCAGCCCCGCTACGCACTTGACCGTCAAAACAAACCATACAACCTATATGCGGGCTGATATGAGTATGCGGCATAGAACTGGGACTTCTTCCCCGCTATAGAAATTCCCATTCTTAGGTCAACTGGCTGGCTAACATGTCATCCTCATTGAAAGCGAGCTACAATATTGAAGTATGCATGCTCGATACTATCTACCTACTTACCTGCCTACCTACTCGACCACGCTGTTAGATGTCGCTGATGGGACAACTCTGGTACCGAGCACAGCTTTCGAGCTGCATATGTCGACTTGCAAACCAGCGTCTGCGTCCCAGACACCAGCTAGCTCTTGCCCATGTTAAATCACATGGCCATGTGAGAACTCTCCGATAGTTTCTATCGTCGTTGTGCTGATGGAGCGTAGCGGCTTGATTCCCTTACCGTTGCCGGCCCCTAGGTCGCAGCGCCGCTACCCTACCACCCCACTTCGGTAACATGTTGCCATGACGGATGCTTCAGTCGCCGCGCCCGGCCAGGCACTTGGTAATGATTTTCACGGTGGTGCCTTTCGCCAACAGCTGAAAGTTTGGTTGGCTCTAATTGCGATGGTGTGCTGCTAATATGACATACTACATCAGAGAGAAGCGATGTCCCCTCCCGCAGACACTCCGGCTCGCTTCTCCCATTGGTACATTCTAGGCACTCTCGGCAAGTGAACCGCATTTCCACCCAGACACAGCGCCTCAACAGTCTGCCCGGCACCCCAACTCTTGCCTGATGGGCATGCTGCCACCGCCAGACTCCCTTGACGCTCTAATGGGAGCCTACGATAGCACTCTTGGGTCGATCTCGACAGCTGGCAGCAGCAAACCGCCGAACCGCGCCTACGGTGCGAGGAAACGATCCAGTTTCACCCTTTAAAGTCATGGCCAGTCTCATTACGAAACTAGTCACCATCCCCCCTAGCTCCGCCCCACGGAACAAGATAAGCTATCGCATTTGCGTACCTAACGAGTATGCGAGATCTCCAGGTATTAATCTGCTGACTTGAGAAACAGGATCCTTCGGATCCTCTTTCGGCCGATAGCGTCGTGATGCTCTCCTACTTGATCTTCAGGCGCCGACTTCCCGCACCTCGGCTACCGGCCGCATACACGGCTCGGCTGGGTGTTATCAGGACACGGGCTGTGCCTGAGATGCAAAATGGAAGCAGGTACACGACACTCTAAACCAGGTCCACAGTCGCCAAGCCCACCACGGGACGGATATCTCATGACGGAAGGCCGCCACATGAGCCACAATATATCCGACCCATCCCACCCCTAAGCGTACGGAGAACGCCACGGACCCATTCTCTCACATGACTCGGCTCTCAATGCTCATGGTGGCGTTGTATTGCCGACTTCAGCTTAGCTTTTTAGTGCGGCCCTGGTTACGTGCCCCGTTCGTGCTTCGTCTCGGGCCTTATGCTGGCGACGCCCTACTATCGCCAACTACGCTCACCTGGCGCATTACAACCTACCTGATTAGGAACTCTCGACGAGAATCAATTCCTTGGCGTTTAGGTGATGCCGGCAGATGGACGGGGGATGCTCCAGCACACCCAGCGAGGCCATGTCCCCCCCTTGGAGCCCACCTAGCATTCACCAAACTCTGGCGAATCGGGAAATGGAGGCACAGTCAATCGCCGGAAGTCTCTTGCGGATTTTAATTGGCTTATATTAATCAGTCAATATCGAGCCACGGCCAGTTCCCGCAGTCAGGCCGGCTAGTCTGACCATGACCCCGACTGTCGCCCTAGCCTTCTACTCCCCTATCCCGAAGTCTCATTGGGCGGTACGAGACCAGCCCGAGACCCCATCGCTCCTTTCTGAAAGGGCATAGGCGAGTCGATGCATGCCTAGAGTGGTAGTAGGAACACGGCTCCGCTCTTACCTGCATCTCGCCACCATGAGGCCGGACATGCCAAATCTCAGTGCATCTGATGATAGGACGCCCGAATGGAGGGGCGTCACCTGCAACCAGCATGTGCCTCATGGATTGATCCTATGTGGGAAGCAGGATGCGGGAGACGGCATTGAGCGCCGCCCAACCAGGCACCTGGACATCTGCCTACTTCGGGCCCGAGGTGCGAGGTTATGGATGGGCTTCCCTCCTCTAGCTTGGGCACCTTGATCCTCAGAGCCCTTTGTATGTGAGAATACCGGCCTGAGCGCCACGAAATACTACACGCCAGCCCGAGACTATCAAGCTTGGGTCTTAGAAGAATGATGGCCTTGATTTCCCATCCAACGGCCAGTCGGATCCGGCAAGGACCCCGATGGGGGCTAACGAGCAACTATGGCAGCAAGCTCTGATCAATGCTCCGATGTTCCATCCAGTGACGTCGGGATCGGGAACACCCTCTCCGTCAGAAAAAAAACAAGGGTTGTAACACTCCGTTCGCACACCCATCTGGAGGCGTGTCCAGCGCTCCCGCCTCCGCCGCTCGCGTCCCCTAAAAGATGGCTGTGGAGGCAGACTTGGGGCAACCGTTCACGCCGGGTCCGGGGGGAGCGGGTGGGAAGCACAAAGGTTCGTAAACGGAGTCCAAGTCCGCCTCGGGTTGGGTTGCAGTGGGAGCAACAAATACTGGGTGCCTCGTGGTAGCGAACTAGCGGCACTTGGTAACTCCAAGGTGCCTCCGAATCACACCCTCAAAGAGGCCTGGACTGCGGGGTGGCCTCCCATCCCCCTACCCTCTTGACAACTTTAGAGTGGGGTAAAGCACCGTGCATCTGTGCACACCCCATGGCGGGCCTGGGTGGCTCGCCCGAGACAAATCGATTTGTTGATGTCGAGCGAGTCGAAAGATTCGCAATGGCCTTTCCTGACCGGTGCAGGCCCTACCAGACTCAAGCCGACCATGGATACGACATGTTCGGCTTGCGCATGTTCAGAATATCTCAGATCATGGTAGGCACTATTTTCCTCTGGTCGTCTATTTTCACACCTGCAGGTCATCTATTCGCCTCGCCACCCGCCCTCTCCTTCGCCCTCCCTCATAACAACCACCCGGCGATCGGGCTCGCTTCCGTCTGTGTGAAAACAAGCGAGCAGGCGCGGCTAGGTGGTGGTGCGGAAGGCCGGACCTGTGCATATCGCAACCGACCGCCCGCCTCCCATCCCAATATCGAGTTGCGTGGCCAGCTGCCCACCAGCAGGCCGATTTTTACGGGGAATTTACAGCGGCCATCCGGATTCCGTCCTCCGGTTGACGGTGTATGGTTCCCTCGTTTGGGTCCCAGCTTTCCCTCCTTATCCGCACCCGGCCAGATTGTCAGAAGTCTGCATCCCGAAGCCCACTATCTTCAACCCCAGCCCCGTCAGCGACGCTCTACCGTGCTCCTGGATTTTGCCTCCTTGCCATTTCTGAGCCTTTGGCCCGCGATCCAGCAGCCATCCTGGCTCCAAATCCCGCAAGCTTTCCTTGTGTGTTGATACACACCCTGTTTTGAGTGTCATGCAGGGGTGCCGGAGGCTTCGGTGGGCTTAGTTGCCGCGAACCAACACCAACTCGTCGGCCGCTTTTCACAGACTTGTTTGACGGCGTGTGGTGGTGGCGCTTCTAGTTTCTTCGAACAAGAAACGCCCCCCACAAACCCGCGTCGTCATTGCGCCCGCGGCCGATCAAACGCATGCGGCCCCTGAAGTCGAGCCGGGCGGCTCGCCTTTTATTCAGTTCCCCATTCCCACCACACGAGAAACCCTCCGTACAATACTGCTCCCGTCCTATCATTTCGTCCCATGCTTGTCTTTGAGATCTCCAGCATGGGTCACCGCACGGTAAAACAGGCTTCCCCAGAAAATCGATCACCTCAAAAGACCCTTGATCCCCGAAAACCGGCACGTTTTGGCTTTGAACCCAAAGCCCCTTGCAAATTTCTTTCTCTTTCTGGCGTTTCTTGACACATGGCATCGTGCCTACCCATCTCGCATGCGCTATGATTGGCCGGCCTAGTTGGTACGCCTATTCAGGAAATCCTGAATTTTTGGGGTCGGAATCACAGACAACACCTTCTCCAGCCCATCGACCTACCTACTAGAGATATCGTGGCACGTTGACTCTCGAGCCGGCCTCTGGTTCTCTCCTTCATGTCGTCAAGATGAGGAGGAAAAGTGGCAGCGTGAAGTCCAAAAGCTTCCCACAATCCTTACCGATGTGTAAGGGTCAACTAGGTCGGCGGTCACTGGCCGCTGCATGATTTCCCGTCCTGCAGTCGCGGCCGGGCCATGATGCATACGCACGTACAGGAGGTTCGTGCGAGTGCGCCATACGAAGCGGCAGGTGTGGCTGCCCAACAGGCATCATCCTGGCACCCACGTCATGATCCGGCACATTTTCATTGTTGCTCGGACGGATGTACATGCGAGACGAAATGACTTCTACTCTCAAGGCTAGTCCCGTCCAGCCTCCTCGCCCGCCTGCGGTCTGAAGGAAACCAACCGAAGTCCCCGTCTGGTTCTGCGGCCTCTTGCGAGGGCGCTGCATGGATGGGCACGATATCAGGCTCACCGTTCAAGCGACGGGCCCTGCTTCATAAGAGCGGTGCCGTGCGGTGACCAGCCTTACCAGGTTCTAGCTTGTCTGAGGTTTGCGGCTGCTAAAGCAAAGTCCATGTTGGCAGCCGAGCTAGCGTATGGAGGGGAGAGATGGCCTCGCCTTGCCACGACCTCGGCCTCTGCCGCGTTTTGGGTTCTCCCGCCCCAAATGGTGGCGATGGGGCCCGCCTCCCCTTGCAGCTCAGCCAGCACCGGCGCCTGCGTGCCTCACCCGTCCTCTTGCCGTCCCCCGTGGCGAAGTTTATCTCGTCCTGCGCTGAGCTTCCTGGACACCGACCTGGTCGTGCGGTTTCCCCTGCAGGCAAAAAAAAGGAGAAAAAAGGAAGAAAAACTAGTTTCGTATGTTCCGATCTGGGGCGTCTCGATGCCGGATGGGGCTACCGTCGGGCCACGCTGCAAGAGAGCGTTCTGGGCGAAAGACACTTGTGCTTCTAGAAGATACTGAGACGCGGCATCATGCACGCTCGTCTGAACCTGTTGTGCGAGTGGTGTGGAGCATCCATGCCGCCTATCCCTCTCTCTGCACCCACACAGCATCGACACCATCCTCAGTCCTGGCCGTTGCCTCAGAGCTGGTTGATCAGCGTGTGCCGCCAAACTGCCGGCCCAAAACCTCGCTGAACCTTCCCCTATCGCCCGGGCCCCGCCCGAGGGCAGGGAAGGTGCAAGAGCCAGGCCGCCGGGCGTGGGTGTTGCCACCCGGGAGCTGCGTCCTGCTGCAGTGCCGCCTTCTGATCATCCTCAACGGCAGGTCGGATCCCATCTCGCCACGGACGGCCGTGCGTACCTGTGGATTGCAACTGGCATGTTGACGACCCGAAACAATAGGAGAGTGAGGGTGTTCGGCAATGCACGATGGCCGAACAGATCTCGCAGGACGCACGATGGGAGAAGGGATGCGCTGCGCTGCTGCCACCCGCCCATCCCACACGCACACACGGTCTTGCTGGTTCTTCGGCGTTCCCTTTGCTTCCATGTGCATACCCATGCTATCTATCGAAGCAAAAAGCCGCACCATGATGCTACCCACCCAAGACTAACAGCGGGACTTTATGCCGCTTGATTCGGGGCGGTATTGGTGAGTATCACCTGATGAATCCCATTTCCTGTCTCAGTAGATGGCATTCTATCATTCTCTCTTGGGTTCTTCTCTTGGCTGGCGATAGGAGCAACTGGGAGTACATGGCATCTGTTTGGCATCGCACTGGATAACAGAAGTGAACTCCTCCATAATGTCCCAAGTTCTCTCAGTGCTGTGCTACCAAGCGTCTACTTTCCGGGTCAGTCTACAACTAATATAGCGAGGCAAATTTTGTTATCGCAGAACGAGTTGCCGCGACGGCTTGGTAATAAGAAGATGCACAAACGAGACCCTGTGAAGAGCCGCGAGCGGGATGGGGCCGCGAAAGATTATTCTCCCGCCCGAGGAGAGGTCTCGCCCGGTTTTACAGTGAGGCTGCCGCGACGGAATTGGTGGACTGGTGAGGAAACCTCACTGGGCAGAGGCGTGATATGGATAAAAGGGACATCGAGGTTGCCGTCTCCGGGCCTCTTCAAGATGTAAATTAGTCTCGACCCAGCGTGATCACTGTCCTCATCAGCCGCGATGCATGTCAGATAGCCTGGCTTACAACCTGTAGGAGAATACAACCCTTCATTTACCTGCTGGCGGACGGTCAAATCCGTTCCTCCATGGCTAATTTCTACCGAGAAAACCAACGTTCACGGACATATATAATGGCGACGGACCCATAGACATTCAGGCCTCAGCAGATAGAGCCAGGTACCACGCTTCGTCTCGTTTTCCTTGTCACCAATGTCGACACCGAATGTCAGCCGACTAACCAGGGATGCTTCAGCCGCATCAAGCCACCGCCACGACGATAATAGCAATGATCTTTGCTTGAAGGGCTCAGGCGCCCTGTGCTGGACCTCACATGCCGGCCACCTCTAGCAGAGACAGCCCTTCCGGAGCCTGTCTGTTGGAGCCCAGACCGAGCTATACACATGGCCTTCGCGGCAAGCATAGGCCCATGCCGACCGACGCGGAGAGGCGGATCGCAACACCACGGCTGCACCAAGCGGTGAGCGCAGCGCCCGATGCTCCAATGCCAGGCCCGGCGTCGACAAAGAAGCCATCAACGCGCTCGAAGCCAACCCCACATGCATAAAAACGCGTGCAGGGGCTAGGCCGGGCTAGACGGTCGATTTCGATCTCGGCCAGTGACGTCGACGGCATTCGAGCAGCGGCCAACGCTCCGTCCGACAGCCTGGACTCTGGAGTGCGAGTCGTGCTTGAAGGGAGGGGGCAGCAAATGAGGGGCGGCTGGCCAAAAACGAAGTTGGCGAGGTGGCATCTGGGTGGAATGGGTGTGGGCCTCGGGGAATATCACAAGTTGATGATTATATGATTACAAATGCGAGCAAGGGAAAAATCGTTGCGCAACGGGGGCCAGAATAACCCCGACTTATAATTGATATCGACCGTGGCGGGAATTTGGAAGCCACTGCGGCCGCCCGGGGGAAGCAGCATCATCAATCGACAACGATCGAGGAAGTAATGGCCGACGAGCACGAGAAGGGGCGCCCCACGGCGTCCACAAGAACCGGCGCCGCCGAGCAGGGGGCGGACGGCCACACCGCGTCGTCGTCACCATGGCCATCTCCGACACCGGGCGGCGAGCCCAGCAGCAGCAGCAGCGGCGGCGGCAACAGCCGGCTCGGCCCGCGGCCGGCCGTGTTCCGCAGCACGCTGCACGAGGTGGTCTTCGTGTTCCAGGCGACGCTGGCGACCATGTCGTCATCGTTCCTGGTCGGGGCCAGCTCGACGGTGCTGGCGCCCATCGCGCGCGACCTGGGCATGACGCAGGGCGAGGTGTCGTGGATCTCGGCGTCGACGTCCCTCACGGCGGGCGCGTCGCAGCTGGCGCTGGGCCAGCTGGCCGACCTGCTGGGCCGCCGGCCCATGTTCATCGCCGGCATGGGCTCCTTCGCCGCCTTCGCCGCCGTCACGGGCTTGGCCCGCTCGCCGCTCTGGATGGACGCCCTCTGCGGCCTGCTCGGCGTCAGCAGCGCCATGATGGTGCCGCCCGCCATCGGCATCCTGGGCGCCGCCTACGCGAGCCCGTCCAAGCGCAAGAACCTCGCCTTCTCCGCCTTTAGCAGCGGCAACCCCGTCGGCTTCGCCATCGGCAGCGTGCTCGGCGGCGTCGCCGCCCAGGTCCTCAACTGGCGCGCCACCTTCTACCTCATCGCCATCCTGTGGGGCATCTTCACCGTCGTCGCCTTTTGGGCCGTCCCCAGCGTCGAGGCGGAGCAGCCGCCGGTCGACGGTGGCGATAGCAGCGCCGGCGAGATGGAGGAATCTCCCTCGCGTCCGCCGCCGCCGCCGCCGCCGCCTCGCCCCTCCCCATCGGCGCCGCTCCGGGAGAAGCTTGGCGACTTCTTTCGGCGGTTCGACTCGGTCGGCGCTTTTCTCACCCTTTTCGGCACCGGCATGTTTACCGCCGCCATAACGCTGGGGCCGGAAGACGGCTGGGGAGCACCGCAGGTCATTGCCCTACTCGTCGTCGGTCTGGTCCTGATTGCCGTCTTTCTATACTGGGAGACCATCTGGCCTCACCCCCTGATGCCGCCCAAGATCTGGAAGGACAGGAACTTCACTCTGGTAAGTTTGGCCCTTTTTTTTTTGTTTTTGCGCTGCCGTGTCGTTCGTTGGACGGTGGGTACGGAAAGCTAACGTCGAGACACGCCTGCCTACCACCTATCCAGTTGATTGTCACGCTAGTCTTCGGCTTCATGTCCTTCCAGTCAGCCTCCTTCTGGCTCGCCCTCTTCCTGCAACAGATCCAGCGCCGCGATCCGCTCGACGTAGCGCTCCATCTGCTGCCTCAAACGGTCGCGGGCCTTACCTGGAACATCGTTGCGGGCTCGATTCTTCACAAGGTGAACAACACGCTTTTGCACGGCATCGGCGCCGTCTCGTACTTGGTCGCAAACCTGCTCCTCTCATTGATGGGGCCCGACTCGAGTTATTGGGCATACATCTTTCCTGCCTTGATCATCAACGTGATCGGAGCTGACTTTCAGTTCAACGTGGCGAATGTTAGTTCTTTTCTTCTTCACCATCTTCGTTTTCTCCATCCCACCCTAGTGGCCTTGTTGCCGCCCGCAACGCTGTACTAACGTCGTGCCCCCGAAGATGTATGTGATGCAATCGCTCCCATCGCACCAGCAAGGTCTTGCTGGCGGTATCTTGAACACCATGATCCGTCTCTGCTCCACCGTGGCTCTGGGAATATCCACGGCCGTGTTCGGGTCCGTCGGTCGGAGCCCGGAAGGCGTTGCGAACCCCATGCTGCAGTACACGCGAGCTTTCCAAGTCTCGGTCGCCTTGGCGGCATTCGGCCTTCTGTTTGTTCCCTTCATCAAAGTGGGCACCCAGGGCAACCACAAGCACGTAAGCGATGAGATATCAGAGGTGTCTTTGAGCGGCACCGGCGATGCTCCTATTGTCGGTGCCGGTGCCGGGACTGCTGCTGGAGCAGCAGGTCAGCCGGCCCCAACGACAAAGGGCCAATAATTGCGAATCTCCCACACATCTCCTTTGATATCAGAAGGGCGCTACGCACCCTGCCCTGTCGCTATGATCTAGAAAGCAACATGTAATCGCACCTTGGAATATCTAGGCGGCACTCACCTAAGAGGTACTTGAGTACCCGAGCATAGACACTAGACTAGAATACTAGAATCCAGCGCAAATTGATGTTTTGACCATTTGTCATGACCTTAGTCGGGTCACTTCTCTTGACCAGCCTTGCAGCTCAGGAGCATGTCACTCAGGGATTGAAACGGGCCTGCTCGAGATGTGTCAATCACCGCCGAGAAGAGAATCATGTCGACGTGGCCAGCAACAGCAAACATGAACTCGTGCGCATTGCATCTGAGACTTGGACGAAACCCAACGTCACATCGCGTCGAGCCATTGGCGGAGAAGGACCGCATCACCCATCATGAGTGAAGGAATCCGCGGGCAGCGAGATCTTGAGGCCTGATGACTGCAGATCCTTTTTTGGGATGGAACATATACTCGGGCCCCATTACCATTGTCCCGCCATGAGTGAACCCATTGGGACGCGAGAGTGGGGGTGGTTGATGGTGACTGGGTAGGCCGGACGAAGTCATGATAGCAATAGTAATAATAACCTAGAATCTCGATGTTGGCCGTGCTCGACCCCGCAAGATATGCACATGCCCGCATGTCATGGCGAAGATCGCCGCGATAGTACAGGTAACGACTCTGCCCAAGCCGCAGCGCATGGCCCGTGGAATGCAACGGCGTGACGATACTGGGTCACAGGAGCAGAGGCGGGGGGAACACGTCGTTCCCCTCCTCGAAACGCGACACGTGTGCGCCACCTGAACAAAGTCCGACTCGGGGAATATGGATGCTGACTATGGATGCCGGCAGCCGTGATGGCGGTTTCACGGCTTGGTCCATGATTAGGTGTAGTTACCAGGCTGGTTCCTGTGGACGCTTGTTTGGGGAATAAGCCGGCAGTTTTTGTGCGACAGACGAGCAGCAAACGAGGTGCTGGCGCGTCTACATGCACCTCTGGTAAAAGTTGTCTGTGTGTCGTTTCCATTCCAGCTCAGTGTTTGTGGAGCACACGGCCGAGCGACGTCGACATCAGACGAACCGCCAAGGACCCTGGTCGGCGGCTGCTTCCTGCTTCGGAAGCCAGCAAGCTTGGGACCTATTTCCGGGGACCCCCCAGGTGACTTCGACCGACTGATCACCAGTGGGAGGCTCGATGTTGTTTTGGACATATTTTTTTTTCCTTTTTTGCTGCTGATTGGCAACATGGGTATCCCATCGGTGCTTTTCGTTCCTCCCTTCTCGTCAACGGGACTAGCTGCAGACAAGATAGACGGCGCGCCAAGCACCTTCCCCGCAGCCACAAACAGCACAGGAACATCAAATGCAGCCTAACGGCGCTAGGTCGCGTGGGAAGGCGCGCCCATCATCGGTACTTGAATGGTGTGCCGCACCTGAATGGAGGGGTCCAGTGGCCCTCACATCCAATGCATGGTGCCGGGCACGGGTGGCCAAAATTACGTTCTCGACGCAACCTCTGATTCCTTTCCCGACTGATTCTCGATGACGCGTAAAGAGATCTGGCAATAGCTCGGTCGCAAGGGCGCAAATAATCCAAACCTACTTGCCGAGTAGGGGGCAAAAAGCTTGAGTTCCGCGATACAAGGTTAGGCCAGGTAGGAAATAGCAGCAGACAGCCCGATCGGAATGGAGTTGAGGGCATCAGAACGAAATTCAGAGAAGGAGCCGGGAGCGACAGCAACGGTGCCTTGTTCTGTGCCGTCGCATTCCGCTCCACTTGTCCGAGCGCAACGTCTGAGGCGTTTCGATGGCAGAACGGAATGGACACAAGACGGCACAAGACGGCACAGGACGGCAACGTGTCAGACGGCTCGTCGGCGGGGCCAGGCGGATCCCTGGCGGAGCTGGGCGTTTCGATCTGCGCGCGCGGCTATTCCTAGAGGTTATTCCTGGATGCGCCCAGAGTCGAGCCCAAAGTCCATGACACCCCAGAGTCCGCCGCTAACATGTTGGCCCGTTTTTCTCCTTCTCGGCGCGCCCATGACGGGCTGATTTATCGCTGATGACCAGGCAGGAACGCAGCATGACGTCCCGAGACCGAGCATTGAGATTGACTGAGAGCTGAAGCCCAAACATGTCCGGGAGGAGTTGCACATAGATTGGAGTGCCGGTGTGCACCTTGCCACTCCTGTCTCCAGAGAAGGGGGGGTTGGTCGCCCAGCATGCCAGCCTCGCAGCCTCGCCCAGACAACCGTGCCGTGTTGTATGCCAGCATGCATGCACGCCATGGACGGACTACACCTACTGGTTGGCTGCGTCGAGCCGGGTTCTAGAGCCCAATCCAATCCTCCAGGAGACATGCCTGCGAGGCAGCGCAGGCTGTCGCTGGGCACACCGACACGTGCGCCGCAGCCATCCAGTCATCCGTTCCTTCCAGCCTGTGATCCTCGTTCCTTGCATGCAGTGAAAGACCGGAGCAGGCACGAGAAAGCAAGCACAGACACAGCCATGACGGGCACAAGTACACGTGTCGTGGTGCGACAGGCGAGCCGGTGCAGCTTTGCGTCTTTTCTTGATTGCTGTAGTATGTATCATCATGATTGGGGGCATTTCGCAAATTTTATCATTATTTTAGTGGCGGCCTCAATGTTTCGAGATCGGCATGACCGCCCAAATATGGGTAATTTCATCTGCCGCAACCGCAGCCCCTTCTCGCCCTCTTCCGCACTCTACGGAGCTGAACGGCGCCATGGGACGGCGCAAATCAGAAACGTCAATGACCTTGTTTGGGATTTTTGTGGGTGGAAAGGGGGATGGGTATCTGGTAGGGGGCCGAATCCAGATCCATGTGTGGATTGTTCACCAAGCCTCAGCTGCATGGGAGGAAAAGAAAGCGCAGCATTGGGCAGCTTCTCCCTTCATTTCAGTGCAGAGACCACAGGGCAAGCAGCAGCCAACCAACTACAACAGCATTAGGCTCAATCTCGTCATACCCCTGCACGACTGACGGTTTGCATGAAGTCGGCCACGCTCCACAAGGAGTCCAAAAGGAACCCACAAGGCCACGCCCAGCTGCAACCTTGTCCTATGACGCCCCGAAGCAGCTCCGCTCCCCACTCTATCCACCACCTACAGCGACAGAGATGGCGCCCCTGATACGTCAACGGAGAATTTCAGGCACTTCCGATTCCCGCACGCCCCATCAGCCTGATGCCAAAGAAAGAAATCCTACCCCTGTTTTTGGACATGCGTGCGCAAAAGAAAGAAAAAAAGTGCCGGTGTTAGCCCCAGCGCCCACCCACCCAGGCCTTGGGCAGTGGAGGGAGAGAGGGACTGTTCGCGCCGTCGTACGCGCGCGCCGCGGGGATGCCCAGCGCAGGTCCCAATTCTGGAAGCCTCGCTGCAGTCAGTGCAGGCACCTCAGACTGGACCTGAACCATCCGGCTGGACTACGAGCTGCTCACTGCGGGTTGCGGCAAGGAGCAGACGCGTTGCCCGCCTCGGCCCCAAAGGCTCTCGCACTGCTAACGCCGCAAACAGCACTCGATCAGCTTTGGCCTCCTGCGCCAACCCAACGGTCTCGTTGATCCTTCGGCCCACGGATTACGGTGTGGCAAGATCTTCAGATGATCCGGGGCGTCCTTCACTTCGGGCGAGCAGTCGGTCTCTGGCCAGAGATGGGACAAGCCACCAACAACTCGTCGCATCATGCTCCCAGGCCGCCTGCTCGCCGGGGCCATGGTGGCCCACATCCAGCAGGACCTCCCGAGGGCGCAGCAAGCACGCGCACTCCTCCCCCTTGCCCTTCATGGTCACCTCCTCCTGCTCCTCCCGGGGCAGCCTCTCCCAGGCCTGTGGGGCCGCACCACGTCAAGACCTCCTTCCTTGTCACCCGCCCTGTCCATGCTCCGGGTCCAACCGCGTGCCCACCAGACAAGCAGCCCCTGGGCCTGGACGATCACTCTCCTCCAGCTGCCGTCGTTCCGGGCTGCTGGGTGAAACGATTATATCACTGTCATGGCCGCCCACCACCTTCCACCCGTCACTCCCGTCTGATTCCCACACGCTTCCTGCTGCTCACCATAATATCTCTGGCTCCGGGTTTGCTTCTGGTTCTGGTCCTGGTTCTGGTTCCGTGGCCAAGCTGCCTGCATCAACTACGACATCTATTCGGAAATACTTTTCCCACACAACCCTTCCTCGGCCACCACCATCCGAACCCTCGGCCCTTGGATAGCAACGTCATCCTTGTCGTCGACTCACCTGCCCAACCTGCAGGTTGGACGGTACATCTTCTCCCTCTCATAATATCCTCCCTCTCACCTCCCCATACTCTAGCTGCCATGGTCAACGCTCCCTGGCTAGGGGGCCTCGCGGCCCGAGCCGCGCTCTTCGCTAGCGCAAGGCTCGAGACGAGGGCGGAAACAAGAGCCACCTACTCCCAGAGGACCAGTGACGCTGCTGGGGCCGTCCAGGCCTGGTACAAGCAGGGGACAGGCCAGTGGGAGACGGGGTGGTGGAACTCGGCCAACGTCCTCACAACGCTGGCCGACTTCGTCATGATCGACTCGGCGAGCGCTGCCAAGCACAACCTGGCCGCATTAGCAAGCAACACCTTCACGCAGGCGCAAAAGCCCATTGCCGCAGCGGCGCCCGCTGTAGCGAACAACGCTGTAACGAACAGCGCCATATCGACCCACGAGATCGCCGTCGCAGAGAGCAGCGAGATCGGCAGCATGATCATGTCCAAGTACGAGGCGCTGGAGGCGTCGACGCCCGGGCGAGCGCGGCTCGGGGGCAAGAAGCTGATGGGCCGCCAAAGCCAAGGCAACGCCGGGTTCCTCAACCACTTTTACGACGATGAGGGTTGGTGGGCTCTCGCGTGGATCCGGGCGTTCGACGTGTTCAAGGATCGGAGGTACCTCGACATGGCCGAGGACATCTTCACCGACATGGAGAAGGGCGTCGACGACGTGTGCGGCGGCGGCATCTGGTGGAACAAGGACCGCAAGTACAAGAACGCCATCACCAACCAGCTCTACTTCTCTGTCGCCGCCTCGCTTGCCAATAGGGACGTCAAGCGGAGGCGACCGGTGGCGTACCGCGACATCGCCGTCAAGCAGTGGGCCTGGCTGCAGGGGAGCGGCATGCAGAACGCCGACGGGCTCTTCAACGACGGGCTCAACATCAACACCGACGGCACGTGCACCAACAACAAGCAGCAGACGTGGACGTACAACCAGGGCGTCGTGCTCGGCGGCCTCGTCGAGCTGCACGCCCTGACGGGCCAGAAGGACATGCTGGACAAGGCCTTCCGCATCGCCGAGGCGACCGTGTCCAAGATGGTCAACGGCGACGGCATCCTCAAGGAGAGCTGCGAGCCCAACGGCTGCGGCCAGGACGGCGCCCAGTTCAAGGGCATCTTCGTCCGCAACCTGCGCACCCTCTGGCTGGCCTCGCCCAGCAGGCCGCCCCTGCGCGACTTCATGCTCAAGCAGGCCGACTCCATCTGGAGCCGCGACCGCGTCGAGGCCAGCAACCGCCTCGGCCTCGTGTGGCACGGCCCCGCCAACGTGCCCAAAGACCCCGTGGCCGACACGCACTCGTCGGCCATGGACGCCTTGGTCGCCGCCATCGCGGTGGTCTAAGGCCAAGGCTGTCCTCTTTTTTTTTTACATCATATTTCGTATTATCTATTCCCACCATCTTTCGTCGTTTTGTTTTGATCATCATATCACGCCCGAGTACAACCAAAGCGTTGTGTTTTATTCCTTCTTGTTTACGGGAGTTATCATTAATTGGTTCCGGGAAATGCCTCAAGTCGAACACTTGGCTGGATTGTTGGACTGGGAAAGCGAGCAATGGGGGCAAGAACATCTCGCGGCCGCGTGTCGGCACACTTGGGTACATTGGGTTACATTTTCTATCTTCAAGTAATGACCTAATGACATGGAAATACGGACAGTCTAGACCGCCTCGTGTGAGTGATGATGAACTCGATGAAGTGATGGCTGTGACAAGTCCTTGCAGCATGGCCTAGAACCAAGACATCCAATGCTGGAAAACGGGATCACCCTTCGGTGAAAGACAACTCTCAGCCCAAAGAGCTCGGTATTTACTGCGATGCGCCCGACGTTGTGTCTCGCAGAAGCGGCGTGCGAGGGATAAATCTGAACCAGGAGTGCCCTTGGTACTTATTCAGGGAGTTTCAAGGGATGGTTCCATATAAACGAGACTCACCCAAGCGGTCTTTGGAAAGCTCTTTGCAAACAAGCCAAATCTCTTTTTTCGAGCAGGGATTTGGGTGTAATTCGAACTACACGGCAAAACGACCACGGTCGCGCGACGACAGCAGAAACGTTGCCAACCAGTCGAATCTGAAGAGGGTGTCATTATTTGCATTGAGAGACCAGCCGGGGAGCTCAGGTAGCCTGATTGTTTGAATGGCATTAGTTGTTGGCTGTGGTCACTGGTTTTTGCAGCTTGAATTTCGAGGTCAACCCGTGGGGTCCAGCTCTAATCTAAATCTGCTGGCTGCGATTTGCCCAAATGTCGTGCCCGCAGCAAAAAAAAAAAAGGAGTGAATGGTGAATGGGTAGAATCACGAGTCTCACAACCGCCCATCGCCCACCCCGACTCACTCGCCCACGCCCAACCACAGCCAAGCCGCAGAGATGGATGCGCCCGAGGAAGACGCCGATATTAAGCTGCAGAAAGTATCCAGCGATTTGATCGCCGACTTTGATCGGTCGCTGCAGTCGTTTCTGCACAGGCCCGACGGCACAGTGCGGGGGCAGGTGCGATCACACGAGGCGGCTCGTCTGGCAACGACGGTGAGACTTTTCTTCCTTGTTTACTCGAGACATGGGCTGCATGGTCGACAGCACCCGGCGCTGACCGCCCGCCCCCTCGTCGTCGATGCCTCCAGCTGCTCGAGCCCTTCCAAGAGCTGCCCCAGCTGCTGGACCCGCACCTCTCCCGCTGGGTCCCCGCTCTCGGAGATGCCCTCGTCGACTACCTCGCCGCCCCCAGGCGCTCCAGGACCCGCTCCGTCAGGGCCGGCCTGCTGATGCCCCTGCCTGCCGCCATCTGCAAGCTGCTCTACACGCTCTGCAAGATCAGGGGCGAGAAGGTGGTCGTGCGCTTCCTCAGCGTCGAGACCAGGCACCTGGAGCGCCTGCTGTCCGCCCTCGAGGACTCGGAGAGGTCGGCCGCCGACGCCGCCGCCGCCTCTGCGGTGCTCAGCGATGACACGGCCGCTTCTCAGCAGGGCGAGCCGGCGGCCTGCATCTGGACGTGGGAGGAGCGCTACGTGGTGCTGCTGTGGCTGTCCCACCTGTTCCTGGCCCCCTTCGACCTGGCCACCATCTCGTCGGTAGACCTGGCCGAGGACGACCTCCCCGACATCCCAGGCCTCCGGTGGCCACCCAACATACCGGGAATCACGCTCAGGATCCTCCCCTTGGCGCTCAAGTACCTCGGCTCTCCGGGCAAGGAGAGGGACGCGGCCAGGGCGCTGCTGGTGCGGATCGCCATGAGGAGAGACATGCAGGAGCTCGGCATCCTCAACGCCCTCGTGCAGTGGTCGCTCGACGCCCTGCGGCCGAGAGGAAAAGGCGCAGGAGGTGCAGGAGACGGCGGCGGCGGCGGCGGCGGAGTGTATGACGTTGCCGTGGGTGCCCACTCGTCGCCCTACCACTACATAGGCGTGCTGTCTTTTCTCGCTGGCATGCTCTCCTCGTCGTCCAACACGTCCGACATGGACCGGTACCTGACGGCCATATTCTACGCCGCCTACAACGTCTCGTCCGGCAGGGACGCGGCGCCGACCTCGAGGCTGATCGCCTCGTCCGCCCTCGCGCGCAAGACCATGATCAAGGTCATGCGCTCGGTCACCGTCCTCGTGCTGAGAAAGCCCCTCGAGGAGAGCGGCGGCGGCGGCCCGAGGAAGGCCGAGACCGTCCTCGTCGAGACCGTCGTCGGCCACCTGCTCGACCTGCTCTCCGACAACGACACCCCCGTCCGGCTGGCCGCCAGCAAAGCTCTCAGCGTCATTGCCCTCAAGCTGCAGCCCTACCTGGCCGCCCAGGTGGTCGATGCCGTCCTGGAAGCGCTGGACCACAACGCTCACTGGGCCAAGCCCGCCGGCGGCGCCTCGCCTAACACGCCTGCCCTGCGGAAGCGGGATCTGTCGTCGGTTGATCCCCTCGAGTGGCACGGCCTAATGCTATCTCTCTCTCACCTGCTCTATCGACGATCGCCACCGGCGGCAAGTCTCGCATCCATCATTCGCGCCCTCGTCATCGGCCTCTCGTTTGAGCGCCGTGGCCCCTCGGGGACATCTATCGGCACAAATGTCCGCGATGCCTCATGCTTCGGAATTTGGGCCTTGGCCAGGCGCTACACGACACCAGAACTACTTGCCGTAAATACCGGAATTTTTGATGCAGAGTCCAACATGGGCAGCAGCCCTTTCGGAGCAACATGCACTCCCACCTCGGTCCTGCAGATCCTAGCCACCGAGCTGACAGTGGCGGCTTCGTTGGACCCCTCGGGCAACATCCGACGAGGTGCCTCGGCGGCTCTCCAGGAACTGGTCGGACGACACCCAGACATGGTGGAGCAGGGAATCTGGCTTGTACAGACGGTCGACTATCACACCGTGGCCCTTCGCTCGCGTGCCGCAAGCCAGGTGGCGGTGCAAGCCTCCCGTCTGTCTGGGACCCGGTACGGCGGGGCCGTGCTCAGCGCTCTGTTGGGCTGGCGCGGCGTTGGCGACGGCGATGCGGCCGCGAGGAGGGTGGCTGGCTCGACATTTGGTGCCGTCGTGCACGAACTAGCGGCCGCCACTACCGCCGAGCCTACGTCTACAGCTTCCCCTGATGCTCCAACAACGGCACCTGATTATGACCTTGGCAGTGGGGATAACCGTCTCAGCCGACTCGCTTCTGCTTTCGGGCTTCTATTTCAAACCCTCAGCAGCCTTCAGACGCGGCAGGTCGAGGAGAGGCACGGCCTGTTGCTGTGCCTCGCCGGCATTTTAGATGCAGTCCCCGAGCTTGCTGGCCCAATCGGTGGCCGGGCTAGTCCGAGCGGTGAACCCGCCGTGGCGCTGACGCCCATCGCCCCGGACCACCTCATGCACCTCGTCAACACGACAGTTTTGCCCGGCCTCACGCATGCCCTGGAGAACTGCCTGGCCACGCCGTTCCGTCATCCGGAGCTCATCGCCGAGGCCGGAAGCATACTCATAACCTCGTCTTTCCCAATCTTGCAGATAGTGGCTTTGGGACACAGCCTCGAAAGTAAGCTGCTGCCTGGTGCCCACATGGTCTCGTCCACGTCCAACCAGACCAGTCTCCCGAGCCTCCTCACGGCGCTGGACCAGGCCAGGTCCAAGTCCAGGCGCGGCCAAGCCATTGATGAGCTGCTGGCAGTCTTTCAGAGGGCTGTCGATGACTGGCTGGCCCGCACCGAAGGGGAGGTCATAGCCGCCGCCTCGGCCGCATCGCTGGTCCTGCTGGTGTTTTGCGAGAACGAGAATTCGGGCACAGTCAAGAGCAGAAGGCAGCTGGTGGGTCAGTGGGCCCGTCTCCTGCGGCAAAATCCCACCACGACACGGCCCGGCGTCGGAACAGGCTACTTCTTCGCCGTCGCCATGGCCTACCCTGTCATATCCCACCTCGAGACGGCCGCGGCAGCGTCGTCGCCTCCAGAGGATGGCGGGACCGGCGGCCACTGTCTGAGGAGGCAGTTGATCTGCAAGCCCATCCTGGACCGGTGGTCGAGCGACCGCAAGACAGATACCCGGGTGGCGATCCTCAAGAGCCTCACGGAAAGCGACGTGCTGAGAGAGAACATGACGGACCTTCTCGCACTCGTCACCGAGGGCCTGGACGACTACACGACGACGGCCAGGGGTGACGTCGGGTCGCACGTGCGGCTGCAGGCCATCAAGGCGACCAGAGCGCTATGGGACAAAATGTTTGCGACTCCAGGCGCCGGCGGCGGGTTTGATGATGACGCTGTCGACACGGCCGTCTCGGCTCTTTTCCTTCGAATCTTGCGACTTGCGGCGGAGAAGCTCGACAAGGTGCGATGCGAGGCGCAAATGACGCTCGCTCTGACCTTGAAGCCACGGTAAGTTCATTACGCATGAAGTCGCAATTTCAAGCTCCTTTTGTACACTAGACTCCAAAAGCCACCTGCCCCTACTCTTACCCCTACCGCGGACAGCTCTGACAAACGCACGACGGGCAGAATCGCCGGGGACCTCGGCAGGTCGACATACTCGTCGAGAAAGTACTACCGCTTCCTCCTGAATCTGCTCACGGCCGCCAACAAGCACATGCTCCCGGCCGTCTCCAAGGCGGCTCAGCGCGACCCGGGCCGGTGGATGGAGGAGCTGATGGCGGGGTACGTGACGTCGGCGGATGCGGGCCATGAGGAGCTAGTTATTGCCGGGCGGACCGCCTTGTCGGCCTACTGCGCCCGCTCGCGCGCGAACCTGGACCGGGCGTGTGGCGCGCTCGTGCGCAACCTCAAGCGCTACTCGTCCGCCTCTTCCTCCCCAACCCCGCAGTCGACGCCTGCCCCTGCCCGTCCGGAACAGGGGTCACAGCAACAGAATGATCGCATCGTAGTGCCGACGCTGTCCATCGTGGCATTCCTGTTCCACGTCGGGCTCTTCCAGCGCTGCAGCGACGTCGACTACAAGGCGCTCTGCCTGTCGGTGCAGCGGTGCGGATACAAGACGGGCAACGTGCGCAAGCTCGAGGCCTGCGTGCGGGTATACGGCGCCATCGCGGGGATGGGGCAGCCCCAGCAGCCGAGGGGGCCGGAGCCGGAGCCGGAGCCGGAGCCGGATCCGGACGAGAGCGAGGCGGAAGAAAACGGCGGGGGAGAGCAGCAGGAAAGGGCACGACAGGACCAGGAGCTGGCATCGCCCCGGCCGGAGCAGAAGAAGGACGAGGGCGTCAGGGAGGCGCGCCGGCGGCTCGGGGCGCTCATGCTGCACCCCTGGCCGCGGGTCCGGACGGTGGCGGTGGACGAGCTGTGGGTCCTGCTGTCGGCCGAGCCGGCGGGCCCGGCCGACAAGCTCAAGGGCGTGGACTGGGGCACGGCCGACAAGGCGGAGATCAGGACGCTCGTGGGACAGCTGGGGCTGGACTAGGGTCGGCGCAGGTGGCGTGGTGAGCACATGCCAACCAGGCCAATTCGGTGTCTCGTCCGGCGGGTGCTTGTCTAGTCTTGTCTTGGCCAGCCAAACGGGGGGCTGGATCCGATGGCAGATTGACTATATGGTACACCTATTGGAAGCACATTGTCCCACGTCACGGCGAACTAGAGAAGGCATCATTTCCCTCACTTATTTTGTGGTCTTGTCGCTTTTTGCTCCACCAATTAGTTTGTTTGAAACTCTCGTCTTCCATTCTCATGTTTGACCATTTCAAATCGAGCCAAGTTCCAGGCCTCATCAGCCAAATAGCAACAGTGTTGAGTTGGAAATCAAAAGAACCTTTGTAACCCTTTTAGGTGTAGACCAGAACGCGATGGATGGTAAATTATACCCCATCGCCACAACCGGGGAATTTCCCTTTCCGGAAGCCAACCCCACAACCAAGGCTGCCCTCCCCGACGGGACAGTTTTGGCCGAGGCAGGAGGGGAAAAAAAGACAGCAGACAAAAAAAAAAAGCCGATGAGAAATGTTAGAGAAACGAGGATACGACATCAAAACAGGGATAGTCCCGAAACTCGATCGTTTCCTGGTCGGTCCAAAGGGAACCCGTCATCCAGGCAGGTCACCTATGTAAAAAGGACGCAAAATCATCGTTTTGAACAGACAGCCCCGGAGCCAGCTCCGGACAGGCTGGCGAACCAATCGGCGGCGAGGAAGGGCGTCAATCCCTCTCGACCCGCCCCAAGGTATTTCTGTCGCTGCACCCTCCTGGCCCATGCCGTGAAACCCCCGGGCGGCCCCCTCCCTTTTTTTCCTCCAACAACCAAAGGTCAGCCGCCTCAACCATATCTGCCGGTTGCCTTCGCGGGTGCATTGGCTGCTGCTGCGAGGTGGTGGCCACGACGTGGCCCCAGGACCAAACAAAAGGCCCTGTGTGGAGCTTGGGGACAGATGTTGGTGAACTGGCGATTGGCTTCGGTCGCCGCACAAAACCCTAATTCCTTGACGCGTGTATGTAGGTTTTTTGGTGCAGCAAACCCGGCCCCTATCTATTCGGTCCATTGAAGGAGGATGTGGTTATGGTATGAATTTGCACGCATCTCAACTCTCGGTTCGTTCGTTCTCCTTCGATCGTATTTCGTATCAAATGTCCGACCGAGCTGACTTCAGCTTTGGGTATGGGGCGAGGCCATGTGCTGCGCGGCTTGGCTCGCTCCAGGGTTGCAAGACGAAGGGAAAAAAAACGAGAAGAAAAAAGGGCTAGCATTGACAGGGCGGAGACGGGTCTGACCAAGGGCACCCCGCGCTATCCCACTCACGCACCAAGATTTCCCCCTGGATTGGCTTTTGTTTTTGAAGGGGCTGGCTTCCAAACGAAAACAAACTGCCTCACAAGCAGGCTTGGTCTAACGACGGAGCGAGGAGGGTTGGTTGGTGTGCAGCAGGTTTCGCTGGCAGCCACGGATGTGCCATCTCACTCGGGCGGGTTCCCACAAATTAACTGCCGCCCACCATGCGGGACGCGAGCGTCTGTCCATCTTTGCTCAAACGGGCAACGGTCGCCCGTCTTTGCAGCCTCACGGATGAAGAGGAGGTGCGTGTGGTGTGATGCACCGGGATGCCGACCGAGCACAGTACTCGCCGATAGGGAGGTTGTTTTGCCCATGGATTCCTTGCAGAGCAAGGCCTGGGATACGGGAAGAACCAGATCCCCTTTTTTTTTCTTGTCATATTTCCTCGCCAGCCCATCGACGTGCCATCTCTCGCGTGGCTGCACTCTACCAAACGCGGAAAGCAACTCGCGCTATATATCATGTACCCATCCTTGTTCCCTTTTCATGGCCGAAGCGGGAAAACGGGAAAGCGGGGGCTTGGCGATGCAGCCGCGGAAAGTCAATGTTTTGCCAAATGACGACGACTTGACGGGCAAAAGACCGTGGTGGGCAGGCTAAAAACAACGACGAAGGAGGAGTTGGACAGAGAGAGAGAGAGAGAGAGAGATAGTGCATATGTGGGGTTGTCAGCACGGCGGGCTCCAGGCAGTGCATTTGGCACATGTAACAATTAACGTCTCTTTTACGAACGGAGCACTGTCCAAGACTTCAAACAGCTCATAAGATCGGCCACCCCGTTTTCTCGCAATTGCCGGCATGGCGGTGAGGGAGCTTGGAGGCCAACAAGCGGGTAACCCGCAAGTGAAGACGGCGACCGCCCCCGCCATCGAGTGTCCACTGTCAGTTGGAGCTGTCCGTCGCAAGAGTTTCCTTTTTTTTTCTTGATCCGACTCCATACTCCTGCTATCCTGGCTGTCATCTAGAGTTGGCCGAGTCTAGACCTGGCACAGAGGACCGAGTGGCTTGGACGGACGCGAGGCCATCCATGCCTCTCCCCGCGCCCTGTGTGGGTCCGCCCCTAGATGCCTGTCGAGCTGTTGGCCCGGAGCACCGGGGGAGGGAGAGAAGCTGAGCTCTAGCGTGGTTTTTTTTTTCCTTTCCTTTTTTTTTTTTTTTTTNTTTTTTTTTTTTTTTTTGAGTGCTGGAGAGATGTTCGGGGCCCGTTGCCCGATCCACCTTCCCCTGCGTTGTGTCCACAGCCGACTTGGCATTGGACTTTGATATGCACCATGTCACGCGCACCGCTTCGCCAGCGACAGCAG